CCCCCCCCCCCCCCCCCCAAGGTCACACAACACAAGGTCAATACATATAGAGAACAATTTTGTCATTTTGATAATTATAACTGTCTTTTTTTGGAGTTGACCAGCATGTGCTGCACTGTCACACTTAGTGAAACCCACTCGAAGGAGGTCGCTTCACGCTATTGTTGTTGCTAGGTAACAGGCCTACGCCCATATAAGACCGAAAAAATAGTAGCCTGGAAACGATAACATTTTAGAAACTCGTTCCCAAGCCTCTAACACATCGAAAACATGGAGGTCAAAATTGATAAAAAAGAAATTCATAATATTCCTGCTGTTCCTACAGCCCCTCCACCGCCGACACTGCGAAATGAAATATCTTTGAGCCATGGTAAAAACCTTATGAAGTCTGCAGCTAGTTTAATTGGCAACGGAGATGATAAAATCATGAAAGAATGTGCTTTAAATGTATGTCAAAACTTTCTGCATCGCTATGAGACTGATGGTTGTAATTTATCATGGTTTTATCATAACAACGATGTTCAAGCGTTCCTTCAAGATGGACCAACGTATGTCATGTGGTGTATGAAATGCATATTAATATGTCAATATTTGTATCAATTATGGATTTATTGCTAAAGTTCTATATATTAAAATATTCCAAAATGACGTCACAAGAATCAGGATTGATTTGGGATTAGGATTACAAGGATTAGTTTGGGACTAAAAATCACTGCATTCACAGTGAAGTTTTTGATATGGAAATTGCCCCCAATTATCAAATTAATTCAATTATCTATTTTGCTAATTATATCAAACCCAGATCAGTGATCAAACCATTGGCAAATGTAAAAGGATGTTGACACCTCCCACTTTGGACCTCTATTTCAATATTATCTGTATATTTAGCTCAATCACATGGATTGTTAATGTCGGGGTGAAAAATTTGAAGCAAAGGCCCTTCATCACAAAGATAGTAATTATTTACCTTTTCCCAAGTAAAATGTCCCCACTCATTGTTTTAGTTGTGGATTAGTTGCTCTAAAACTTGCTGCAGATATTCTGAAAATCTCTCCATCAAAATCCACCAAAGAAATTGAAGACCTTGTAAAAGTTGCCCAAGAAAATGGCTTTACTTGTCATGGAGAAATGTTCTCTGCTTGGGATATGGGATCACTAGCAAAGAAATATTATAAACTGAAGTTTGATGTTGTTAGTAATGGTCTTGAGGATTATATGCAATTAATAAAACATTTATACAGAGGTTATCCTGTGTTGGTTCCCTATGATGCAGATAGAAATCATGAACCATGTTTAAAAAGAGGTCACAAAGCACATTGGGCAGTTATAACAGGTACAGTAAGTTAAAATCTATCAATCAGCAAATCAATTGTTAATTATTATAATAAAGTATAAAGTTTAACATAATTATTTTCTGTCATTTAGGGTTCCTCATTGGTTTAAAAGATGAGAACATTTCACTGACAGATGTACCTACAGATGGTAGAGATGGTACTGATACATCAATACATCCATTTCATCTTGCCGAAGGACAGATTCCTGGGTTATTTGAAACTAAACATTTGTTTCTCCTTGCCAGACAAGGGAAGTCTAGACATTATGCTGTGTGGCATTGGGTTAACTTGAATAATAGCAATAAAAATTTATTTGAATTTGATCAAGCAGGAATAAGCGACTCTGAAAAGACGAAGTGTATATTTACCGAGGGTGTGCAACCTGGACTTTGTTCAAAAGTTGTACTTCTTTTCCCATAAGGTGAAAGTAACAGTAACATTTTGCAAACTTTAATTTTGTTGAATCTTACAACTGATTCTCAATTTAAACAAAAACATGTTCTCGTACAATGCTGTACATGTCTCTTTGAAAATTAATTTGTCTTATAATCATATCTGAATTCATTGTCTGCTTTGTGCCAGCAAGCATTTTAACACTAAATTTTATTTACAAGTTAAACTGTTTTAAAGAAGAAACCATTGTAATTTGTTTTTGTTTGGTTATTTCATAATTTGCATATAATCAGGATTGATGTTCTCCTTGTCGACAAGGGCGTATTGACGCAACAACATTCTTGTCTTTGGGCATTCAGAACAGCACTGTGCAGCTACTTTTGACAACGTTGTTTTCAAATTTTCCACATTTCTTCTCAGGCTCTCAAGATTTTGTAATTTCTCAATCTTTCCAATTTTAAGGTTCTCCTCTTTGCTTTTCTGTTTCAATCTGAACTGTCGACTACATTCTCTGTTTTTTTCTTTTCTTCTCTTCATCCGCTGTAGTTTTTCCTGATCCATACCTAGTTCATGCTTCAAAAAACAGAACTCTTAACTTTGTTTGAAGTTGATTTGGTACAACATTACAAAGATTACTTCATACTGTATTTCACATATGTTACCTGTTCTGGTTGCATGAATGCACTGTTATCCACTGTCCCATGGTAACTCTCTCTGACCGAATATTCTAACTTGGGATATATACAATAATCATGATCAACAATATTGCTGCCATGTGTGCTTGATTGGCCAAAAGAAAACGAAATAGGCTGGCTAGCCTCATCAGCCACATTGGTAGAGTTCAGTACAGTAAGGGTTAGGGTGGACTCGTTTGTTGGGTGTATGTCAGCATTAATGCACTGTTGAATTGGACTAATTGGTGGTACACTTTCAATCTGCATGTGAGATGAGAATGAATCTGTAGGAGTATCTTGGTAACTTCCATGAGTCCAGTTTTCTAAACTGTGTCCATGTTCTGGAAAAATATTAAGGTTAGGAGTTTATTAACGCTGTGGTACTAGAATTGACAGTGGAAAACGATTTTGGTATATTTATGTTTCATTTGTGAAACTTTTTGTGACTTGTAAATATGTTTAGTGATCCAAAGCATCAATGGACAGATTTGTGAACGGAATCAAATATATTCAACAAAATAGAGTGTAATTTTATTTTTAATTATATCTATTAATCTATATGATTGCTAGTCCCAGACCTTTCCCTGTCAGCATGGATGCAACATGCATGAACTTACCAATAAGCTGTAAAAGGTCATGTCCAAATTTTTCACTTGAGTACACATCTGATAAATTCATTGACGGAACTTCGTGCAGGTTTTCAACCTCTCCTAAAGCGCTCCTGTTTTTGATTGATTGGTCGCCATCTTTAATCCTACACGAGTATAAAAACAACATTGAAAGGTTGTCAATTTGTACCCAAACACTTCTTTAAGAAAATCGTTTCCTTTGTTTTAAAGAATACTCACTCGCTCAATTTGTTTGCTTGCATGTCTTTCTCTATCACAGTGTTTCCTATTTCAATTAATACGTTGTCTCCCGCTCGACAATCTGTCGTTTCATTTTCACCGTGCATTAACTTTTCCTCCTTGTTATTTTGCCCATCTTGATTTATCTCCATTTTTTAAAAAAAAGATTGTTTCTTCTAGTCAGGAAGAACAATTACCTAAAAATATTTTGGACACTGTAAAATATTTACTTTAAAATTCAAAAGTTTTGAAGGAGGCCATTTTTGTGAAATGCAGTTTTGAGATGCATGTTTTGTACTTACAGAGTTTGACGAAACTGCATTTGTCTGCAACAATCCATTCTCTGGAAAGGCTCTTCACAAACCATGAAACTGTTTTTAACTGTTATCACAAGAAAAACTGACAAAAAAGTAAAACTGCCTGCGGTTTTACAGATTTTTGCCCCCGTGTTGCAATGAAAAGGTTGCCTCTTCAAATTTGAAGGAATTTGAAACGTCTTTTGTTTAAAACGAAGCATTATGATTGGTCAATTTGCCGAACAAATTCCGAAGTACATCCGAACAAAACTGACCAATCAGACAACGTTAAAAAGCTTAGCGCGTGTTTCCGAGCCCTCCCGAGCTATGATGACAAGCAGTGTTTTTTTGCGCGGGAAATATTTTTAGTCATACAAAAAATATGTGAAATACCATTAAATTTAAGAAAGCGATTGTATTTAGTCTTTTTTGCCGTTCCTTAAAGTTAAAAAGGGGAACATTATGTCGGATAGGGTTGTTCCGGACATAAAGACCACTACTTTCGGCGAATATCCGAAAGAAAACTGCGATATAGGGGCAGACGACATTGACTGGTGTACTGGGTTTTGGAATGAAATGGCCGGAGAAATTACCCCAAGGTATGTTTTTGACAAGATAACTTTTCATAAATGTTCTTTATTCTTACCTGCCTATGTTTTGTATCATTTTATTCAGTCTGTATCCAGACAGCCCTATTTTTTCATCAAAAGAGTATGACTGGGACGACCCCGTATTTCTTGAAAATGTGTTTGTTACGCCGGACATTGAAGAGACATTTGCAGGCACACATATGAATGGTCATCCTGCATTTATGGAGAATCAGAAAAATGAAGGTTAGAATTCATCGAGTTTAGTCCGCAAAATAATGACTGATAAAGGCATGCATGAAAGAGACGCACTATATCCACGAATTATGAGAGGTGTGATTGCAGAGATAGCTCACCCAGTTGAAAAATTTCATGTTGTCTTACCGATTTATATTTCTTTTGTTGTTTTACTGCTTACATTGTAGACGTCTATTCAGTGTATTCCTTTTCAAACGGCTGTGAACCTAATAATATTTTACAAGTACGAACTAGTACATCAAATACATCTAAACAAAAATGCAAACGACCAAGAAAACCAAAGGTATGTCTTTCATTGGTTTCTCACTTTCTCTGTACATATCAGAATCACGCAAATTATCAGATGCCGCGCGCTTCGAATGGCGCACATGAAGTGGAATGTGCGCTACGTTGCGCTAATTAATAATCAAGTTTTTACATTTTCAGACTGAAAACGCGCACGACACTCCGTCAAAACGGCAACGAACGAATAGTACAAAGAAGACAAAACCAAACAGCAAGAAATGAAATATCAAAACTGTTTTTAATTAACATTTATGTACAGTGATTTATATAATTATACTGATTTCAGTTTAACCGTTCTTAAAGGTACGTTGACACACAACATTAATCGGGCCGATTCAGCTTTAATGAAATGATATTTGAAAAATACGCTTTCAACTTCATCTGACGGACATCGTCAACTGACAACTTTCGTCATTAACATTCGGCAAAACCTAAAATCGACCCGATCAATCGTTGTGTGTAAACGTGACTAAATGACTTTATAGATTTTATTCAAAAATCGTGGAGGAATATTTTAACTGTATATTGAACAATTTGTATTTTATATTACTTTATATTACAAAATTTTTTAACACTTAAAAATTTAATATTTTCTTCACAATTACATTACTGATAATTTAAATATTGCCTGTTAAAATTCAGATGCATTACACTCATTGAAATTGTTCTTCATTCCCTACATTTGATGCAGAGAAAAACATAACTTTTGTTCTATATATTCTGCACAGTAGCAGCTCTTGGTTCTTGTTTTATTCTTCTTTGGCAACCCACTGTTTCTTAGTTTTGTCGCTCACTTTAATGGAAAAATATCAGTCAAATCATATAGCATGTCAAATCATCATGAACGAAGAACAGAAAATGTGCTGAAAAAGTGAAAATAATGTAGCTATTCCACTGAATCAAATGAAATATTAGCCGATGGCAAAGGATTGTATTGGTGAGATTCAGGACGTGAAGCATGATTCAGAACCTCCAACAAGCCTTTGTAAGGAACCCAGTGTCCTATTGCTTAGTTTCCTATTGACTCATTATGTCACAAATATCGTAAATTTTAAAAACAAATTATCGAGGGCATCAGATGGTTCTCAAGTTCACTAAGAAATTACAATTCTCACTTCTCTTTATTTGCCTCCACATACAAGAATGCTACATACAATGAAAATAATTAACATTGTTCTCTCACTTTGATAAATACCTGTTGATCATCATCTGCTGCACGACAGTGCTTAGTGAAACCTATATTTTTTATCAACCCACCTTTATAAAAGACCTCCCTAGATTGCGGTGATGATAAATATCCGGACGAGCCTGAATCCAGGTTTTCCAAGTCCTCACATTGTTTACAATACAAGGGACTAGCATCCGGACCTCGAGGAGTGAGGTTTATGTCTTCTAAAGATGAAATCTCAGGCATGGCTCCACCATGATGAGGCTTTCTTGTTCGTTGCCAGACTGGATGATTTGGTACAATTGACATAACCTAGTTGAAACACAACACTATTCACTTAAACGTAATGTAAACTATTAAAAGTAGGTTAATGATAGAACGGTTCAATTTATACCGGAGAATAAAGATCTGAACGGACACAGGCAAAATGGTCTGTGTATGTATGAATGCGATGATCTTGCGTGCTTAAACCTTAGATTGTCATGACAGTGATCCGTGAATGAAGAATTTATATCAAGCATGATTTGTTGCTCCCTACCCTGGTTGCCAGAGGTTCTCGTATTTTAATTCCGTAAATTATAATACGGCGGCACAAGAATCTCCGGAACCAGGGTAGTTGTTCCCAGAACCATTGCTAGAATATATCAAGCCAGTGGCGTAGCCAGTCTGACGATAATTTCGTCCCGCTATGCAAATTCAGTTCAACTCATCATTATTCATTTCTTTAGAAATTGATTGTGTTGATAGATTAACATGGCAATATTTGCATAGCGGGACTGAATCATCGGCTAGCTACGCCACTGTATCAAGCTATAGTTCGTCTTTTAACTACAATATTATTGAGTATAAGGATGGATGATGCGTCTAACGGATGGAGATCTTGGCAGATCATCTGTCTCTATTATTTGAAGACTTAACCAACCCTGCATATTTAACAGAAGATACTTAAAATTAACCTCGTCACACGTTCGTCGGCTGACAACAGCTCTGTAATTCATTTTCTTCCATAACTTATCACGTTTACGAAGGAAACCTGGATACAAATCGCGCCATTTATGACCAAGTGCCCAAGGTAGGATATCATATTTCTGGTCCTCGTCGTCTTCTTCCATGTCATTAGCCAAATATCTGAGCAATTAATTTGTCAATTAATAAAAACAATGAAATAAATTAATTATAATGAATATTTAATTAATTGGCAACGTAGACCATTTGAGGGACAACTAAAATAAGTTAACCATCGAGTGACTGGATGGTATGGAGTTAATGGAGAACATTGGACTTTCAAATCAATGAAAAGATAATGATGGAACACTCTAATCAGATCGTTAATATTATGCTAAATGTTATGCTAAATGTTATGCTAAATGTTATACAAAGGATAATTAAAGGAAAATTTAATTAACGACGTATGCCTTAAAAGTTCGCAAATAGGCAGGGGTGTGCAGGATAATTTGTCAGTTATTAGTAAAGCATACTTACAAAGCCAGAAAAAAGTTGGTCCGAGTATATTCACGTCTGGTCAGCTCTGCCCGTTTGAAGTACGCGTACACCATTGCGAGTAAGTACTAGCAAAAACAAAGGTTTCAGTCAAGGTTTGGTAAGACATCTATTTTTGTTAACCAAACACATTAGGCTTACTTTGTCAGATATTTTTGCACATGAATCCATCCACAAAAAATCTTGAATAAGGTCATCATCTGAATTGGGGAAGAATAAACTTTATTTTCTTTGACGTCAAATGTAAATGGTTACTGTATTTATACCAAATAGTCACGTGACATACTCTATACCAAGTTTTTGTTTGAAAATATTCACTGTCATTCACTGTGACTTTCATTGGTGGGAGGGAGGGAGGGAGGGGAGGAATAAAGCACTGGCGTAATGTATATTTAGACGTTGGTATTATAAATTAGGTTATTATGAAAAATACAAGTGATATTTAATGGAAAAAACAGTCCTACTTTTTGCATTATTTAGTACTTAGGAATTATTTCCATTAATTAATTCTTTATATTTAATGGTTATTTACTTACCAAACAACTTAAAAAAAGCAAGCATTTCTGAATTTTTGGCATATTCGTTCAAACTTGACGCGTCAATCTTTTCGTCCTTTTTTGCCAATTTTTCGAGCTCTATGTTCTCGCAAGTTTCTAGTTTATGCCCCTTCAAGGGACTTTTTGTTCTTCTTCGTTTGACCCCGAGGTAAAATAACCTCTTTTCCTCTTTTCGTTTTGCATTTCCATCCAACGAATGATTCTTTTTGTCGGAATGACTTTGTCCCATTTTGTCGACCCAATCAAGGATGTCTTGTACTTTAGACACTTTCGTAGTTTTAATACTCACATGCAGTTGCTTTAGTCTCATAATAAAACTTCAAATGAACGCATACACTATTCCATAGGCATAAAATACGGAATAAGTGCCAGTAAAACCTTTTGAAATGAAAAACAACAAACAGGCGAGCGAAATTTTGAAATTTTGATTTTTTCCCGCGTTTTGTTTTAACCGCGCGAACATAGAGGACTGGGAGTCTGGGAACTAAATATGGCGGACAAACAAGAAGAAATAAGCATGTCAGAAAAAAGCTTCTTGTTTCCCATTATATCTTCCAATTCTTGTGAAAAATCTAGTGCTACACAAACTAGGAGTTTGTTCCCATCCGTGTCTGTTCCTGATACGAAAGAAAAAGGTATATAAAAGTATGATTGCACCTCGAACAATCGTATACCGAACGACCATGTTTTAAATAGTCTGTTTATGATATTTTAGTCAGAAACTGCAAATACAATATTAGAATGTAAAACTACGGACACTCTAGCAATTTGCTAGCTATATTTCTCTATTGTGTTATAAACTCTTCGTAAAATCAAGAAATTCTGGTAGATTTTTGCAATTAATATGTATTTTACATTCTCGATTATTACTATAAATTGATAAAATATTAAAATCTTTACAGACAAATTTTCAATTTTCTTAGAATCGCTTGATTGGCTTTCTAATGCGAGCTACAACATTCAGGCTGGCGTTTCTTCAACTCTTGAAGAGCAAGAACACGAGTCAGCATCGAGTCATTCTAGCAATGAAGAAGAAATATTGAAGGTAGCAAAATCGGAGCAAACGGAAGAAAAACGTGACAGGAAACGTCGCAAAAAGGATAAATCTAGAAAACATAAGAAACACAAACATAAAAAGCACAAAAAATCTATCGATGATCCCAAACTCACAAAACTTCCCTCAACAATTTGGATTGAAGAATCGGGTTTGGAGATTGAGAATGCATTTCGTATCCATAGAAAACCAGATTATGATAATCGTCAATTTGGTGGATTATACAGGCTTGACATTGCACTTCATAACCAAAATCCTAAACTAAAATGTCTTGGTCTAACTAAAGAGCTAGAAATTGAACAGAAATCGAAAGGAAAAGAGAAAAAGAAGTCTTCACAAAGATACTGGGAGGGTTGTGTGAGTTCTGGTGAAGTCTTGTCATTTGATCCAACTAAGAAAAGTGGGTTTGGTTTCAGCAGCAATTTTTCATATGTTCCACTAGAGTTACCCACTGCTGTTAATGAAGAGAATGAATCCTCTACTGCGGAGAAGCCTGTCTCTGAGCTGCTGTCCAAAACAAGAGAGTTAAACCAGAGGGTTCGAGAAAATCCAAATGATATCCAGTCATGGTTAGCCTTAGCTGATCTTCAAGCACGACAAGTTGAATCTAGTAATTTAACCACTGATTCATTAAATAGAACTGCACTTGAAAAGCAAAAGAAATCTTGTAAGTTGTCAATGGAGAAAAAAGCAGCTGTACTAGAGCAAGCAGTTCAGAAGAACCCATCATGTGTTGACTTGATCATTGCTTATATGAATGTTTGTTCAGAAACCATGAACAGTGAAGCAATTCTCGAGAAATGGAAGAGGTTTATGTTTACCCAACCTCAGAAAACATTATTATGGAAACATTATTTAATGTTTTGTCAGTCTAATTTTTCAGCATTCTCGTTTTCAGCAACTCTAGAAGTGTATACCAAGTGTTTCACAACATTATCTGCCATTCAAAGTGGAAAGTTTATATCCCATTCTCCAGACAAAGATATAGAAAGTGGAGTGCTTGAAATCTTTGTGCAATTTTGTCAATTTCTTAGACAATCAGGTATATCTTGTATCCTAGTGTATGTGTTTCGTTATAAGGAAGTGAAAATGTAGTTAGTGTATAGAAACAATAATAACTTATAAAATATTTATCTGTTTTCATTTTAAGGGCAAATGGAGAAGGCTATTGCAGCATTTCAAGCATTGATTGAATTTAATTGCTTTAGTCCAAAAAGTCTTGAAGAAGAACATTCACTAACTTCTTTCTTTGAAACGTTTTGGGACAGTGAAGTGCCAAGGTAGAGTAAACAAGGTCGTTTTGAAGCTGGTCAAGTAAGCATGTCGTCATGTCAGCTTGAACAACGTTCAAGACCGTTTTCCACTTCAATCGTACAGTATCGTAATGTTTGTGTTGAAGTCGTTAGTTCCACTCTAATGCTCAGGAAGCAAAGAAATACACTACGCGTCGGTACGATACTATTGAAGTGGAAAATGGCCTTTATAATCTTTTATTAAGCAAAGTATATAACTTCTGTGTATAAAAACAAGCAATATTTAGACTGAGTCAGTCTGGTGAGTTTGATAACCCTGTACAACAGTGCTTATTGTTATTATTCTTAAGATTTGGAGAAGAAAATGCCCCTGGTTGGAGTAGTTGGATGGAAGATCAGCCTAAAACCTCTCACAATATTCCTCTAAGTGAAATATTTGCCAGCTGTAATACCCACGACAAAAACTCGATCCAAGAAAAGATTATTAGCAGCCATTCAGAGAAACCAGGTACTTGGCTTAAGCTTGAGACGTCCCGCGAGGCAGAGCAATGGCGTCCCAAGAAGACAAGCGATGATGAAGATGAAAACGAAGATCCTGATAGAATTGTTCTCTTTCAGGACATCAGTTTTGTTCTTTTCAAAATATCGAATGAAAAACGCAAGTTTCAACTTCTTACCTATTTTCTATCCTTCCTTGGTATCGATATTCACTCGTCCAGTGTTAATCTTGAAACGTTTCTTCCCGTCTTGCTGGAAGATGAAGAACAATTAACATCATTTGTTGACGATGGACACCACCAAAGTTTAGCTTGTGGTTGGAGCTATTTTCAAAACCCAGAAGACGCTCAACAAACTGACATGTCATATCGTACGTCTGTACGTAATATTTTCAACCAATCATTGGAATGTTTCTCAGACGATCTACAAGCAATCTTAGCAACACACTGGCTGAATTTTGAGAGAAATATTTTCATGTCAGAAGTGAACCTTAGGCAACGCAAGCAGTGTTATAAAGCGGTACGGAAACTTGCAAAATCGTTGTTAAAGTTGGAACAACATCGAAACAATTTGAAATTGTGGCTTGCTTTCATTGAAATCGAGTGGGTAAACGGAAACATGGAGGAAACAGGACGAATTGTGTGTTCGGTGTTAGAACAGTTGCAGAATGTTACAGATGAAACGTCTGTCATGAAATATTACCACTTTGTGAGGTAAAGCAATATTTGATATGCAGTATGGAATTTCTCTGTTAATCAAAATCTAATCCAGTGATATCTTAATCTATTCCTAATCCTTGCAATCCTCAATCTCAACTCTAATTCCCACACAAATCCTAACATTAATCGTGAACGAATCCTACAACTTGATAAGTAAGGAGTATTGATTTCCATCTTTAACTTTAAAGTAATGATAGATTATTGATAGGGAACTTTTCTTGGAACGAATATAAATGCGATATACGATCTAAGCGTATATGTTCTGAAAATTAATTATATAGATTTCCTTTTCAGATTGTATTGTGAAGTGGAGATGGGCTTAAAGAACGGCAACGAACGGAACAAGAAAGCGACTAATTTAGAATGTTGTAGAAACAGAATTTTACCAGCGATATTTATGGTTGTAAATAAAGCTTGTAGCAGTGTTCAGGCTATCCTTACCCCAGCTCAAATACTAAAGACTCACAAAGCTTTACAAGAGCAGGTAACTTTGATGCTAACAGATCTTCAAAGTTGGGACTTTGGAATAGTCGATGATGAACGAAAAGATTTCTTGGTTGATTTCATGATCTGTTATGCATTATTTCAATACTGGAGTTTAGGTATCGATGCTGCTAAGAGTGTTCTCGACTCTATGTTATCAGCTGCTAGCTCGGAAAGAATACAAGATGAGAGCTTCAGGTCACCCGACTTGAATGACCAGCAATATGTCTTTGTAAAGTTCTCCGGCTCGAAGCACCATGAAGGTGTTTTGGTATTCTACTGCAAACTTTTACAGTTTCACTCAAGAAATAACATTTGCCCAGTGAAGCCGTTACGAGATTTATTATTGTCATCCTTATCCACTTTCCCAGAAAGCGCGTTCTTTCTTCACTCTTATGCGAGGTTGGAGTTGAGGTCATGTACGTCTTATTCAGTGCGGAGATATTTTGACAGTGTTCTGGCTCGCTCAAAGACACCAGTTCCATGGTTGTTTGCTATTCTTTATGAACGACAAAGACAGAAGACGTATCAGTCGGTCACTCGGAGTCCATTGGAACTGACTGTTAGTCAAGAAGTCAAGGAGGTATGAGCAACAACATGTCTAATTTATTTACACAAAGTGTGTGGAACTTGTTACCATAGGATAATTTTGAAGAAAGTTGTCGTCTTCTTTCCCCCTCGCTCGCATCATCCTTAAGAATCTCAATTTCTTCCATTCATCCTTCCCCTCTTCCAGGTTTCTTTCAAGCTCTCTTAGTTAATTATAATCACATATTTGTGATTGATGGTGGAAGATGAATATTGACTGAATATTTTGAAGTAGTGTGAATATGAATATTGATGGTAGAAATATGAATATTTGAAACAAAAATTGGAATCAATATCACCCTCGCTCCCTCTATCGACAGTTTTGTTTTAGGAATTTTTAAGGTAGGAATAGGAATTTTAGAGGAAAAATATTCCTCTTCCACCCTCCAACATATATCCAAGCTATTTCATATTATACCAGTTCACTAAAATTTGGCAAATATAAGAAAGGATCATAATATGCTGCTTACGATGGCTAAGAAGTAGCGATAGTTCATAGAGTGGAAAGTGGCATGGAAATTATGTATTTTTCTAGAGTTCTGATCCAGTGACACAACTGCCCCAAACAGGAGTACTTCATCGTTTGAGATCACTGTACGAGAGAGCGATCCATCATTCTAGTGCAAGGCATTGTGTGGCTATATGGCGTTCTTACATGAAGTTTGAAGCAGAGATTGGTGATCTACGTCAGGCTAAAGCAATCTTCTACCAATCACTGCAGTCTTGCGCATGGGCAAAGGTTAGTAATGTTGCTTCCTTGACAGTCAACAAACATACACGTGTTGGACTAATTAAACACAATAGTTTCTAATCAAACTAGTCCAACAACAACATTCTAACATCATCTTACATTTTTGGATGCAACATTGATGGTCCGTTTGAACGTCATATGTTTGGTAATGTTGGATCTCTTTCTATCAAGAGATCAATAAACTCGGTATCATAGTTTATCTTCATTTGTGCACGGTCACGGTGATTCGTCACCGTGTAGGGGTGGGTATAATCGTCCAGTTGGGGCAGCCGTGGTGAAACGTGTTTCCACGATGAATAATATTTAATGAAGTCGAGACAAAGATTTGTGCACAGTAAGGTACAGTTCAACATCAAACAAAGGTCTTCTATTTTGTGGCTTTGAAGTTTGCCGCGCTTCCGGACCATCTTGACAGACTAAGGTTGGATCACGTTCGACTTATTACATCCAATATTACATCACAATTACTTTTATGCAGTGTTGTGATAGGATTAGGATGAGAGTTTAATAGAAGGGATTAGGATTAGCATTATAGGCTAAGGTCAAGTGTTGCTGGAAGGGTTGGGTAAAGTTAAGCTATTTGGACAACAATGAGTATTCTGTAATTTGATGAACTTTTTTTTTTCTAGATAATATATTTGGAGGCGATGAGGATATTTCCTGAATTGTTTCAAGATGTTTACGACATGATGGAAGACAAAGAATTAAGAATTAGAACACCTCTAGAAGAACTCGATCTTCTCTTGGAAACCTAGAACATTCGGACTTTACCATACTCAGGCTCTCATTAATTCATAGAAATAAAGGCAATAAATCCTGAAATTAAACGTTGATGACAATGGCATGTAAATGAAGGCAATAAATGTTGAAATCAAACAACGATGTCACTTGTGTTCTATTACATATTTCATAAATCATAAATGACAATAACACAAAACAGATTTTTAAGTATTGTTTATTAATAGAAAACATTTGCAATTCCACAATAAGTGTATAAATTCTCTAAATTATTACACGTTATAACACTTTCATTATTTACAAATTTGTAAATTATTATTTACAATAGTGCTGTACAAACCATTTACAGTCAACTTTGGCTAAATAGAACTATTAACTCGCTAAACGTCTCAATTTGTTTCAACTCTCACTATAAATCATATGCAAATCTAGTGCTCTCAACTAAAACTACTTGGTAATTACAACATTTTGAAGACTTTAACCATCCCATTGGCATTAAAATATGCTATCATAGTTACTTACAGAGGTTTGATCAGTCTAAAGCCCGGATGAAACGAGGAGGTGAAATGTCAGTATTGATTTTTTTCGTGGTACTCGGGGTAATCCGAAGGCGTAAAGTTTTCTTGGTTAATTTCACAAAACAATCCATAAAAGGAAATTTTAAAATTTACAACTCTCGGTGACTAAAAATAGTGCATTTATGGTTTGTAAAAATACGGTAACGATGCTAATAAATTGCTAGTAATGACGCGAATTGCTGGCATTATTGGTACAAATTGTCGTTGTAACAGGCTATAAGAATGTTGTTCAGATGTTACTAAAGATTCTTTGTGGAGTTACATTTTTGTACAGAATTCCTAACTGATGACGTCAAGTATTTGCGACTTTCCATCTTCGGGAAATTTTCGCTTTAAATTCAGTTTCTACTCAGTGATTTAGGCAATTCACCCAGCACGGATTGGGGAAAGTCTGTATTTTTATTGTCAAAACCGCAGGTCGACTTCTCACGAGTTTGCTCAAGTGATTCTCAAGTGGCTACTTGAACAAACTCTTTATCGAAGATTCTACAAGTCGTACCACGCGTTTCCGTTCTAAAACGTCCGAAAGACTATTACTTCATACTTTTCCTGTTTATAGCATTGTTCTCACGTCCGCAGTGAACCCACGTTGGGTGGGGACAATTGTTCACTTTTATTCCTGGATTTGTTTTTTTTTTCTATCCCCTTTCGAGTTTTGAGGAAGAAGACAGGATGTCCTCATTAGATATTGGCTAAGTTGAAATGTATTTGAATACAAAGCAAAAGTAACTCCGAAAACATTCTTCGAAACTGTTTCATCGACATTTCGACTAGAGTGTAGTCATCATCAGGAATGCTAAAATTATTTCATATAGATTTACTGGTCGAAAAAATGCAGGCATGCTCTACACCATAAACTTTTCGGTCTTTTCAGTCGTTATTAAAATTTTTGTGTTTGCGCAGTTTTTAATTCTATCCCTTTCGAGTTTGTAGGAAGGCGTCAGCTTGTCCCCATTTGAAGTGCATCAACACTTTTTAATCCCATACAATACTAGCTTAAACTTTCAGATATTCTTTGTGTATAGTTCCGTAATTTTATGCATTGTTTTCATCAGAGGGAGTTTTCTTGTTTGTTCTTTCCTGGGATATTTTTTAATCCCAAGGCGTTTTTTGAGGAAATGTTTATGGATATCATGTCCAACGTTACTGGGAGGAGATGAATGCCATTTTGATATACCCAATGAAAGTTATGAGAAATGTTATTACTATACGTTCCGAATGGTACGATTTTCAAACAAATACAAAAAACTATAGAAAGCTTATGCAACAGTTTACTTTCATCATGTCGTCTTGTTTCCAAAGACATCAAAATCGTCCTAATATAACATCGCGTCCCAACAAAAGCCGGCCCCCTGCACAGATTATGTGGGTCGACTACCTCACATTGTCTGGGCATGAGGAAATGACATTGTATTATTTGTTTCCATTCCAAACATATTACGCCTACTCTTCAACTCAATGAAAACATTTGTGCGATGTGTTCAGACATGAATGCAATCCTACATAGTAGAATGTTACACGGAATTTTGTAAGCCAATGGGATAGTTAAAGCAGTGCAGATATTTCGGATGTCTATCATGTCTATTAAGCGCGGATGAAACGAGGATGAGAGTGCATGAGGCAGCCACGTGACCTTGGTTGGCTGTTCTTAATACTTTCCCAACACTATCATGTATTTACTGCAAGTTAAAACATAGTTGGAACACTTATCAAACCTTTATTTTGTTAATCTAGAGCTTGGAATGTCCCCCGTAACAATGCGTGACTACCAACCCTCATCCTCGTTTGACCGCTTTACTAATGTTCGTGAAATTTTCCGTTTATTTGAATAGTAATTTATCTTACGATAATTTTTGGTTTTAATATTCTTTATCACTCCATAGGAGTGGGCAATTCATAATGTTTGATTAAATAGTACACATTTCAAATAACTTCAATCTTTCATACGCTGCCATCATCACACTAGTTGATTCAGAACTGGATCAGTGGTGAAGCTAGCTATAACAACAGGTCATGCTTTTGTATTACTCAAACCTTTAGAAATGTCTTGTCTTCAACATATCTAGATTCAAGTTTATTAGCATAGCATGATCAGTTGCCATGGCTACCTTCTCCACTGGAATGGACGCATTTGAAATCAATTTTAAATTTACTTCAACACAATGAAACGGTGTTCGTGATAAAGTATCACTGCATGTTTTCACATGTAGTAAGGGATGAAATACGGAATGACAGTTACTGCACCTTCAGGAAAAACAGTTTAGAATTGATGGTCAGAATACATAAAGTTGCATTATTGAAGTTGCTTTAGTTTGTTCTAATCCCGCCTGAATCCTCTAGTGTGAACGCAATATATATTTTCAGATATTTAATATCTTTTGTGCTGTTTCAACAAACCGTTCAGTACCATCGCGTTTCTCTACCGAGATCGTGGAACCCCTCGCTCCTCCCGAGTCCTCGCTACTTGTGGGAATTCATTTTCGTCTCCATAGCTCCGTCCGGGTGAACAGATAGAGAACTGGGATCTACCATACCAACCATGTCACCAGGTGAACTGTGGTTGTCATGGATACCATTTGAATGATGTTGTAACGAATTACTGTACTCCTGGTGAACCTGAATGAAAGGATATGAAGTATTTTTAGAATCAAAGAAAGAGCATCACATGTTCAAATGGCTTGCCGGTTTATACAGTGACCTCTATATATACTGGAGCAAGAACGTCGAGAAAATTGAAGTCAAGATGGCGGACAATGACGTGTTTTTTTCTAACGGATCGTATCGCTAATCACGTTTTCAGTTCATAAAATCATAGTATCATTCTTTAGATCGATGTCAATGGGCCAATCTTTTTCAGTGCAAACATAAAATAAGAGCAAGAATAGTCATTACCTGTAGAGCCCCAGGGACGTGTTGTAATGATACAGGAATTCCTTGGTTGGTCACCACAGTACCATCTTGCATAACCAGATGGTGTGGGTGACCATTGGAATCACCATCATTCATGGCAGACTGGGTGGTGGGTGGTGTTGCATAGAGAATACCACTGGAGTTATACATGAGTGGCATATTCCCGCTAGTATACACCACATTGTTCTGTCCAGCCTCATTGCCTTGCATAGATAATACATTGATAGGCACGCCTGACATGTGACCTGCATTACCCGGGCTATCGCCTTCAGGGTGTTCAGGACTGCCGTGATGATGATTGTGTGACGTCACAGAACAGTTTGAATCCATGTGAGAGTTTGCTGATGTTGTTGCGGCTTGCATTCGTTGTAAGTGAACTTGAGGGTTGACCACCTTAAATACAAGAAAATGTCAGGCATTGCAGGGATATGCAGAAAATTACAAAGTAGAAGTTATGCTAGAATATAATCTTTGTGTCCGAGGATGAAAGAGTTGTCTATTCTCATTTGAGTCAATAGAAAATGTCGTTTGAAATTTTAGAAAAACCATCGCTATTCATGAAGGTTTCAGTGGATTGGTTTCAGTTAATGTTTTCATTGGATGGGGTCGTCTTGTATTTGGAGGAAAATAAATACAATGCACCCTTCTGGAAAGTGCTTAGTCTATCAAGTCTCTTTTTCGTGATTGAGATATTGGGTTGAGTCTTTTATCTTATTACAGATGACACGAAACCATACAGTTGTATCAGTGAACATAGAAGATCTGTTTACGTCATCAGTAACAAGAATCAAGAACTATAAAACCAATATCTCAATCATGAAAACAACCATAGCCACGGATAAGTTCTTTCCGGAAGGGCGTATTGAAAAGTGTAATTTTATCGTTCCTATATTGGTGTCAATAGTTCTAACATTGACAGGTTTTTTTGCCACTGTTCATCCCGAGATGCAAACTACGATAGATAATGAGGGCTACCTGTGTGAGAGGTTGCTGTGTTCCTTGACCCAACTGATATGTTCCATTAGGGAACGTAGCCCCGGGGGTAAATATCGTAGCATATCCACCTCCATGCACGGCCTGTACAGAAAGAGACTGGACCCCAGATTTAGAAACATTCAGTTGTTGACTGGTAGGAGGGAGATACGTCGTCATAGGAAATGATCCGTTGCCAGCTGATTGTAGAGTTATCCCTGTCATAGAGCCTGTCCCAGTTTGATTTAAGTCAATGTTTTGATTCAAGAATATAGCGGCCTTCCCGTCCTAAATAAAATAGCAAATTTTAAAAAATATTAAAATAACATATCAAATTTAAGGTTAAACTGTCTGACGTAGTAAAAAGTAGTAATAATTTGAAGTTGTATATAATATCAAAAGTAGATTATGACAGAGATTAATAACATAAACATATTTTTAAATGAACTATTATTGTTCAGTAAAAAACAAATTCCGAAAAGACAAGACATCTTGAGAATACAATATATGATTCAAGACGAGACGCAGGTTGAGACTGTATCAGTGCAATATTCGACAATTTGACGTTTAGTCGAGAGGCCCTTTTTCGTGTAGTTCTGACACAAAACACAGAAGCTTATTAAATGTTTTAAACTTTTTAACAAAGTTTTGGAATGCTTTTATACGCACTTTGACCCACTTGACAACCAGATTTAGGACATTTCATGATGTAAGACTACAGAATCACAGCAGAAACTATTCAATGCATGGTCAACTAACTTTCAATTACTTAATAGTCGATTAGATTTACAATTCGAATCGAAACTACTCAGTATGTAAATTATCTCATTAGACTATGTTTACACCCAGGAAGATTGACGAGATGGGAGTGCGCTATTGTATCACCATAGCAACCATGGTAATATCATTAACTTACATAACAACCACCCCGCCTTTAATACTGTAGCTAATGATAAACCACCACACCTCATACTCAAGAGGGTTAATAAAGGTTATAAAATATAATTTCCAAAAATAGAGTATGACGCCTTTTACGGCATGCTGCCGCGGTAAATATGAATTATTAACCAGCGATATTACCTAGACTGTAGATATTGGTTGAGTGCTTTTCAAGAATCTTGGGAATATATATTTTAAATATTTAACATATTACACATAGTATAATGTTAGGATATTACGTTTACAAAGAAACATTGGCAAAAACAAACTGAAATATTGCACTGCCGTGGTTTGGGTGTAAAGTACCAAGAAAATACCAATCGTTCTACTCTTCTTCACGTAGTTCAGACACAAACCACGGTAGCTTATTGATGTCGAATACATGGCCTACATTAAACCACAGAATAGAAAATAGTCTATTATATATTCTATGATTAAACCCTACGTTTGAGATATCACGCACGCAATTAGATAACCGAGATGCAAGGAGCCGAAATTCAAAACTTTGATATTTTTTTATCGGTTTAAGTGACTTTTTTATGAAAGCTAGCCGCTTTAACTTAATTGTAGATACTTTGAAATTGTTGAGAATAAATTGATGAACTTATTCCATTTTTGTCGCCGGCCTCTAGCCCCATTTACACCCAAAACACTTGAGCTAAACGTACAGAATAAAGATTCTTTGTGATGAAAGGAAACACCTTGGTCTTAGAAAGTACTTTTACAATAAAACTGCCATACATTACATCACACATCATAGTCTAAAATAATTCTGATTCATTCTTCTTTTAAAAATAAGGGTACCAATTAGTTGTTATTAGAGAAAATAATATTGATTGTTGCAAAATTTGTATAGGATTCTTCGTTTCACTGAGGCTGCGTGATAGAATTAGAGAAACATATCAATTGTTGCAAATTTGTATAGGTTTCACTAACACATGCATACCACAATATGAAGTCAATCTGAGCTGTTGTCAGAGCGAGAAAACTATGAGAATTGTTTTCATTAGGTTACTAGTAGTCTTATATTTGGTAGAAAACAAATAGAGAGACACGGTTTTCTTGCTCCTGCGAGTGTCCGTGCTCAAAGAAACCCATCATTTGCTCCGAAGACGTAAAAATTTGCGTGCGTCCAAGAGAAAAACAATCTAATTTACAGAGATTCCCATCCTGTCCAGACATGTTCGTCACATGAAAGAAACAAAACAGAATATCTCAAGGGTCGCTGAAGAGCCTGACTCAAGTGCAATTCACCTGAGCAAATATCTCAACAATGCAAACAACTAAGAAATATTTACATGCTTGTGATAACTTTAACATGACTTGTCCACCGTGAGATAACTGCAAGATATACACCCCCAGATGACCCAACTTAGTAACATCTTACCCCTCGTTAGAAAGTCGACAGTTACAAGAGTTTCACAAGACTGTTTAGTTAGTTCTCTTTTGATTCATGTTCAATTGTAGAAATTACGAGTGGTAATTGTGTCATTAGAAGAAAAAACGACTTTATACTTCAATGAAAAAAATCATCAATTCTGCTCCAAATCAACTTCTGACATGCACAGCTAGTGTTTTCAAAAATACACATCATTATCAGTACTTTGTGACAAGGAAAGAGGCCCAAAGGACCATGCATGTGTATATATGAAGAATAGTCATAGGCAACCTTCACACATTGTCATTTGTTGGCTCACATTTTAATGTCAATGATGAATTTGATGAATATGATTGTCCTGATATTGTTGGATTGTGTTAACCCACAATATTTTTTTTAAATATTGTTGCTACAAATCATGAAATTGGTTCAATAAGTTGCAGGATGTAAACATACCTACATATGCATGGCAATGCTATGTTCATTATATGCATTTTAAGTTTATACATCATGATTATTCTGACTGAGGCTTAGCTTTCCATGTTCAAAAATTCAAGCTTAATATTTTTGCATGTGTAATTTGTAACGTAGACTACATTAACCTGCTATTTGCACTGTGCCCCACTACGCCTTACTTTATTATTTTACTCTGCCTAATGCCAGATGATTTTACTCACCAAGAGGAGATTGCTGGTACTCAATGGGTTAATGTTATATAGTTTGTGATGCACTGTGGTTATACAATGTGATATACTAAGCAACCAAACAGGGGCAATACATGGCACAGTGACTTGCACTAACAGCTCTCTAAATGGTCTTGATTGAACATCACACTTCAAAGGAACATAATTGAATACAACCCGGCATGAGCTTTTTGTGAACTGTGGCACTTCAATAATTACATATGCCCTAAACAGGGTATAGCCTTTCAAATTAACCAATGTCAAAGGCCATATGATTTCTATCCTTATTAAGGATTTTTATAATTACCTAGCTGTGCCTATAACTCTAGCAGTTTACATTGTCAGCACATAACTTGTCCTCATCTTGTAGCACAAGTATCGGTTAGATCTCTCACACGTAATATTACAATTAACATATTACATCAAGCTTTTTCTTGGCATGGCCATTGGCCAGACTTGGGATGTGCTAAAACCATCAAAAGCTAATTACATGCCACCTTTGCTATTTATAACTGTAAATGATATATGCAGCTGTGTATCCGAATACCATGTATTCTTCACTAATGTGACCCAAGAATTGCACAGAGAAATATGATTTGAAGTGTTGAATTATCTTGGTACAGTATTCAAACATAATTATACCATGTTTGGCAAAAATGTTATACAAGTTACAATATACAAGTTAATATAACCTTTTAACTGTAACATACAATAGTCCCTGCTGGTTGTTAACAAAAATTAACAATGCAGTCATCTTTATACTTTGTTTCAAACACAAAAGACCCTTTAATGGCTTTACCTCAAAGGCCAGGGTAACAAAGAGAGGTTTAAATGTGGTTTAATTTTACAGCCTGACCAAAAATAGCTGGGTATTAATGTTGATAGGAACTATCATTTCATCAGAGAAGTATTATAATTTAACACAGATGTGCTTATCAATGTTTGAAAATATGATATGAACATTGCTTGCCTATTAAAATTGCATAACCCTTAGTGATATTTATTGGGACATTTTGATTCTTCCCAATTTAATGGAATTATGGCCAATTATCTTTTGTAATGCTTTACAATTTGTACAAGTTCTGTAAATTATATGCCCTCACATCTGTAGCAGAAGTAATTAGTATAGTTTCATAAAATTTAACCATTACATTTAAACACAGTGTTAAACTGGTGGTAATAGTCTTTTCAACCATTTTCAGTTCTATAATACATTTGCAGTCACATAATATGGTGCATTTGCTAAATTTTCTGTGCAGTTATATTCACCTAGCCTTTTCAAATGCATACAACCATTTCAAATGTGTTAGATAAAAGACAATTGAAACAGTTGATAGCAAAAACTATTTTCTGTAAAATTATCAGGAGTAGGACCACACAATACTGTCTGCAAAGACCTAGCCTTTGCAATCTGAAAACGTATCTATAAACCTATTCAGGGTTCGGTGTACAGTGTACAAACATTTATAATATTTTTCAAATACTTTGAAAGCCGAGTAAAATAATCCCACCATTTCAGTATTTACATGTCATCAGCTGATGGTGTTGGGCTTGTGGCAATGATGAAATGTTTTTTATTTGATTTTAATGGCTCAGAACTATGTATTTGTTATGATAATATGATCAAGATTTATCATAACTGAAATGCCAAGATTGTAGATGATATAGAAAGAATTCTGAATTGGATACCAGAAATTTTCTTGAAATGCAACCTGAATTTTTCATGACGTTACTAGTACAAGGTTGTATAAGCTCGCTAAATTTTAAATAAAGAAACTAAAAATTTTACAAGCAATTTATAGTAAATGTGAATTTTTTATAAAATTTGCCTTAAAAGCAGTAATCTAGAAGATTTGTACGTACTTTTATCCGCAATAGGCAATATTTCAGGATTAAAACAACGTACATTCACATATAATCCGACTAATTCCTAAATCTCACAGCGGCTTCGTGCGAGTCAGGGACGCGATGTTTGAAATTCCCCAAATACCGAAGTAAAAACTCGACAATTCCACGTTATTTCTTTTAAAAACATCAGTATAACTTAAATATTCTACACATTATTAACGAATGTCCAAATTTAAAGGCCAAGTTCGCGGGTTTTAGGGGAAAATTTAAAGTCCCAAGAGTTTGCCCAGACTTCCAAAAATGGATATAGTTTTGTTGCGACACGTTACCTTATAAAGACATGCCAGCCATATATGGCCCACATAACAAACTTACGCGAAATATGAATGAGAGAGAATTACTATAGCGTAAAATAACAATACATGTGCTGTTATAATATCAAGATAATGCAGGATTTAGTGTTAGGAAAGCCTATGGACACGAAACATGCAAGACAACAACTTATGTATGCATATTTTGGTAATACTAGACAATGGCGTCGCTTCGGCTTCGCTATATATAAAATGCAGCTTTGAGTTTATAGCTGAAGTGTAGGATTTAAAAGCTTTCGTGGGCAGATAATTATATACTGTACAGGCTCATAAGTAAATAAAATTATATCAAGGGAAAGGATAAAATGTGAGTTACGACAAAATAAAGTTTAAAACTTTCGTTATTGTATAAAATGAAAGTACAAACCTTGTCGACATTGACGCCGTCATGTGAAGAATAAGACAAGTCAGGTTCTTCATAGCCAGTTGCAGACATACGTTGATCTAAAGTTACTGTATTGATTGCAGGGTCTGGGGAATTTAAACATGTTTGTATGAGAGCTTTGCCACTTTCTGAAGTGATCATTGGTTGAAGTTTTCGCGTGGCGAACGTGTAGACATGGCCTGTCTCTGATGCAACAAGAAGCATGACTTGTGTGCCTGTCAATGTGCTCAGCTCATAAGCCTAGAAAAATATCACAATATTATACATAAATAACTATGCTGCACAGTTTTGCACAGGGAATAAATGTTACCAGTGTTTGTGCAGAATATATAGGCAGAATGCAAAGTACAAGTGGATGATATTTGCAGAAACTCAGACAGGATATTGTCATATTGACAGTACACACCAACCTTTTTCATTATGCCTGTCTTCCGCTTGCTAAATGTCGTGTATCTTCGCAGTTTATTATCAATGTATTCCATTTTAATTTTAACTCGGCCTCTTGTCTTTTTTCCTGGTTTTATCCCAATCTTGTTGGTGTCTTCAATATTCTCCTGATCTGAGGAACTACTATGCATTTCATCAACGTCGCGTTTAATCCCGCGATGTAGTTGTTGTTGATGCATAATGGCGTCTTGTTGTGTTTCGTCGCTTTGTTTTGCTTGTGTATCAGTATCTATCTCACTCTTGAGACTATACTCGCCGACTTCATTCTGACTTCGATCCATTTTCTACAGCTTTTATATGAAACTAGAAATTATCATCAACACACGTGCCAACACAGAGCTTTATTTGGAAAATTCACTGCCATATAAGGAAGCAGCGAAGCTTGCTAATTCCATATTTGGTCATGCGTTATTTCTCCTGCGCTGTTGCAGTTGCGCTGTTCACATTTCACTTCCGCCGAAACAATTCAAACGGCGCTGGTCTCGCTAACGCGAGGTTAGAACAAGACCTTGTCAACACTGCGCTATTGCTTTCGCATTTTAACCGACACTTGAGCACTTGGAAACTCTTTGAAACATGTAATATTCACAAACGTTGTTCCACTTTATGATGTAATAGTTAATTTGCAACGATATTCAATGTCGCGCTGGTTTGCTATGCCAACGCAACAAAAGTTTGCGAGACTGTCTAGGGAACAGCGCTCAGAACCAAATGCGCAATTTTTACGCAAGCGTTTCTTTTTAAAAGAACATGCAAATCCTAAAATCTCCAAGGACCGTAATTAGGACATTTTCGCCAATTTTCGGTCCATTAGTTAGACTTATTCGGAAAACATGGCCGAACTTGTTCAGATAAATGCTTAACTCTTAAAAGACAAAAAGGCCAAGTCCATTTTCGGCACAGGGAAGTAGAGGCGGAAAATGCCAACTCCATAAATTAGTTGGAGTAAAACAGTTTAGGTTAATCACCACAAGGATTGTGATGAGAGCAACGTAAAGATGATTAATGAGATTTATTTTGAAAGATTCCCGGTACTCGACACAACGTTTGTCAAGTGTGTATTTATTGAAAATCTTTGCAATGTCAACGAGAAGACACTACTTGACCAGGTAGTTTTGTTACAATTCTATTGTTTCATTTCAAACTCATGTTCCCAATGGAAGGCAGTCGCGATGTCGCGTATTTTGCTAGTGAACAAAAGTTATGTAGGTTTGTCTAACTTGAATAAAACTATACTAAAACGTTGAAATCAACTAAACTTTATCTTGGCCTTTGACATCACAGTACACACAGTAAAAAGAAGACAAAACAGTAAACATTAACATGTTTTATCTGCCATGGTTTGGCTTAGTTTCACTCCAACGCCAGACTCGTTGATTTTTTCACTTCACTCTCTTGCGCTTTGAGCGAATTTTCTATGTCTAGAATAAAATGTCCCAGTGCAATGCTATAAGTAGAACCGTACGTAACTGTATGATGTTAAAAATTCAACTCTTGTCTAGTTGTATTTCTATTTAAGAGTCGTTTTCCGGGCCGAATGCCTGTAGCCAGATAGCGGCGTTCTTATCTTATTTCAATGACGTATTTTAGTTAACCCAATTTGATATTTTTCTAATCAGTTGTTGCTGTTGTCATTGTATCAAGCGATGTTGAGAATTGTGGAGATAAGAGAATATTCTGATTGATTTTGTGATCAGACGACTGTTGCAGCCTTTATATGGAGTCCACTACAGAGTCATGGATTCACTCGATCAAAATGCATACTCGTCAAAACATTGCCAAGTATTTAATATGTTCAACATTTAATTTTCTTATTTAAATTCTCCTGCTAGGCATATTTTATCGCGGGTCAATTGCCAAAACGATACAAATTCACAGTCTTGTTGCCATATATATAAACATAATTATTCAGTTTGTTTGTATAATTTAGTATGTTAAGGTTTGTTTCAAATTAAACACTTTCAGTTCCACTAATTTTCTCCAATTGATTCTAATTCTTATTTAGAGTTCTTCTGGAAGAAATGTGTAGAATTAAATCAGACGATAGAATATTTTTATTTTGATATATCCAGGAAACAGTCGCGAAGACATTGCCTCACCCGCGGTATTATGTCATATAATCATTGTGTGTTTTTTTCTATTTTATCGAAAGTAAGAGTTGTAGTTATATAATTATCATGAAGGTGGGTGGAATTGTTTAGAGCGGAGGATTCAGCTGACTGCAGATTTTCAGACTGTTGCCAATTTTTTGTGTTGGACTTTTGTACTCAGACCGGCTCAGTGATATGAATGGCAATGAATTAATACTGAATGTCTGAATGGCAAACATTAACTTATGTTGAAATATGCCTCAAAGAATCTATTTTCGATCTAATTTTACAAGTAGTGTTCAATGAATACCCTGGGTGCCAGAGGTTTTCAGGTTTTTAAAGGTCTTTGGACATAAACCCTAGCTAGGAAACTTTCTGAAGGCTCTGCAACCCAGGGTCCGTAGGCCGATTTCTAAAAGTCTAAAACTGTCGCATATACAACTTGCACAAATCGCCCATAAACGTTGTCGTAGGTGAATTGTGTGATATTGCGACAGTTCTAAAAGTTTTGCAGTTTAAATCGGCCTTACGAGGTCACTGGTCAGTGAAACGAATACTTACATGTGTATCGTTCACGATCATGGAAATTAACAAAGCCGAAAGATGTTAGACGTTAGTCATTTAGAGTTTAGTTTAGTGAGCTTAACTTTGTGCTGTCGGTCTATATAGACGTTTGTACAATTTATTGCGGATTCATTTTCTTTGCAGTTACCGAAATTCTAACATGCATAACTGATGTGTTTTGAAAACGGTCAAGGATAAGATCCATGAACCTCCCACTGCAGTGAAAGATGCTGCACTCAACTTATATTGTATAGAATCAGGGTATTATGTTATATGTTATGTTATGTTATGTCTTGTTGTGGTAGTTTGTCATCTTGGGACTATACTGAATGAAGGTTTTTAGCATTATTGTTGCGGAATCCTAGTACATGCACCTACAAGTGTGTTTGGTATTTTTCGTATTTTTGCTCTCAAGATATTGTCTGTTTTTTCCATGACGTTGCATGCCAATCCAAAGATTCAAGAACGCTGTTTAGTGCACGTAACTCTGTGTGCATGAATTGTACATGATACGAAATATCAATTTTTATTTTTTGTTTTCTTTTTTAGGTTAACTTTGGATAATATGTGCTATTTTACTATATATTTCAAATAAAAGTAAGAAGTTGTTTAATGGGGCAGTGCGTGTTCCCACCATAAAAATATTGTACCCACTTCAGTATCAAGAACTTAACTGCCGTCTACTTGGTAAGAGACTTGCTGACGTAATTTGAATCAAAGTTTCTTGTAAGATCAACGATAGAGAAAACGGAAAAAACTACTTGCTCGTGGTATTTCAGGAAATTTGATTTTTTTTTAATGTAATGTAATGACAATTCTCATTAGAATAACTCGCGTAAACAAAACGTACGATTCAAATTTAAACTAAAGGTCATGTACTTTAAAATAGATTAACGCCAATCGTCATACCTGCTCATATTTTCTACAACAGTATATGTTTTGTCGTATATACACCTGGAGACTTTTAGTCTTGATAATTTTTTATACGCGTTATCGGCTGTTTCATCACTGAAGAAAGCTTCAAACAAGAGTCCAGTAAGACTTGTTCAGTATTTCATTCTCATGGCATTCGTGTTTTCCCTAATAAAAACAAAATAAAATTTGATTGCCATTTGTTCAAAACTTTGAAGTGTTTGATTCTGTTTAATAGGGTAGTTTTGATCTGCAATTTAGGCTTGGAAATTCATGATCAGTTTTCACACTTATTTGAGTTTATTATTGTGCTGAACTATATATAACATTGTTTTTTGGTCAGGACAAACTGTGGTCAGAAACCATAGAATATATATTATTTCTCTGTCAGAAACATGAAAGTATAGTGTATATTATAGAGTGTTGCCTCGCGTAGTTTATTGATTACGAATGCAAATCACAGAAATTTTTAAAATTCTTTTTTGATATTTGAAATTCAAGTTGTGCTTTGACGATGATCGTCAAAACGTTTGGCAAGTGTTGCGGGTGAGATCTAATATCATACTTGAGATTCAGGCGCAGCCGACGTTAAATATTTGCCGAATATTCTTAGCTTCAATTAACAATCTCTGTGATTTCCGCACTGAGGAAACGAAAAGATACACAATTAACCCACTATAGTTATTTTCACTCTTCAATTTCTCACACTAATCTGCCATGCGTGCAACCTCAGCAATAATTATGAAGGATATTGGTGGGCTTCACCAGAGGCCCCCAGGGTCACACTCATCCTGCAATTATCAAAGAGAGAAAATAATTCTGGATGGAGCTGTCTTGTATTTGGGGGCCGGATAAATAAGAATTGGAACTTTTTGCTTCTGTTCGTGTCAACACTTGTGAAGTTGACCATGCACTATCTGGTACTTGCAACGTCTACAGGGAACCCACCAATAGCAAGCTGTTGTTAGCCTACGGTGTAGACCCCAGCAGAAACACCGTAGGCTAGCTATTGTCGGTTGCCACAATACTAAGGCGCAATTTAAAACTGAGTCACAGACTAATAATTTTTGACACTATGTTACAACATAACGGATTACTTTATTTAGTTATGGCAGTATGAAACAAATACAGTTCGTTTGAATAATTCAGGATTATGGAATCAGAAGTAAAAATTAAGGACCATGTGTAATTGTGTTTGCATTTCACTGATTTTCAACGTAAATTTATTCCGCCGGTATTCCTAATTTACTCAGCAAAGTGTAAACACGAGAGTGTGGTTGTTGAGCGCCCTGAGTGAACCTGGACACCGGAAAAACCATAAGTGAACTTTGAGTTGAAAGAATTATTTTGTAAACAAAAAGTGGAGTGTTTAGAAGTGATTGGGTTGCCATCATGGAGTCAACATTTCCTTCCTCTCTTCCCGTTTAAACACTTTCATTTCTCTTTCATTACGATTAGAACAAGATGATGTTGTATATTGTTCACCTAACCATCCAGTTTGCACGTTGACCTACTTATTAATGGTTAGGTCTAAATTGCTTTTTACTCGAAATTTTCATCAACGACGGCAAAATACTTTCTATAACATCGTGTTCTGTTATAAAAGAGAAATAATTTCCTCTATGAAAAGCCAACCCCAATTGTTGTTAGAGAGATTAAATTAATCAAGCCCTAAGGCTAAACCCAAAGCCAAGTTAGGAAATGAAGAGGCAATATTCTGATTAACCTTTCAAATTTGGACTGTGATAAGCCATGCACTCGTCTTGTGGAATAACTGTTCAAGAATCTAAGCACTAATTTTCAATCAATTTATGCATGACTGCTCTTTCCAAACCAGAACATTCAGGAATAAAAAAATAATTTAAGCGGCTGCCACATACGAGAGAACTTGGCTGATCTAGTCGCTTCGCGTGGCCAAACCTCGTTCCCAGGCTCTTGCGTGGTGGCTGGCTCAGCAGCATGTTTTTTCTCTCGTGTGTGAATAGTTTTCGTGAGAATTTAACCTCTCGAGACTTTGAGGAAAATATTTATCGTGTTTGACATTTTTCACCTCGCCAGGAAAAAATCTCGACGTCTGCGGATGTTGCGAGCTTAGTGCTCATTATAGTTCAATGGTGCTGAGCTGCTTGAATTAATTAGCCAATGAGAACGCATAGTTTCTTCACGTGACTTTGGTAAAAATGGCGACAATAGAGGGAAATGCAAACGATGTTATCAACGATGTTGATGTTGAGTAGTTTTCCCAACGTGTATGGTGAAAATGCATAGCTGAGCTAGTCAGCACACGATGTGGTTAACTCAGCAAGTTTCTCTGATGTGTGACAGGTGCGCTGCTCCTGTGGGAAGCGCATTCTCGAGAGCCAGTATCGGCGGATGTATTTTCACACGGAACTTCACATCAAAATTGTTTCCAAACAATTTAATTTGTCTGAAGAGACAGTTTAACTCATTGAGACAAAGAAAATTATTAATACTGGCTTGTGTACTGGCTTGTGTTCAGTAGCGACTGGAATAATATATACCGATTGATCAATTCACGCGCAATTTGCAGTGTCAGACGGCTGCTCGCTTCCTGTCTGACGTGGCTACATTACTTGGGCTACATCAATTTTATTAACTTATTAAATTTCTATATTTGGTAAATTCTTACAGGCTCTGGAAGAATATAACACGTGCCAACTCATGCGGATTTTTCTTGTCTGACATGAAACGGAACATGCCACGACACTCGTTGTAATTCATGCTTTCAACAGATAAGAGGTTTATAAAACACTTTAAATTTAATTCTAGAACTTGAGAATAACTTCGTTCCTGCGGGCACTCCCTCACTTGAGTCACATAGCTTGAGTTGTTTCCTACCAGAGTGTGCACTTTTTCACTTTTTCTTTCGAGTTGCATATAATTATTAACAAGCTTCAAGAACAGAGCATGACCAAACTTCGTGCTGCTGCCGAGAATTTAACAATTAATTTGAGAATGTCATCCCCCCTGCTGACCTGTCCTATGACTTGGTATGACTTATACCAGCTGGGAACAGGTTTGGAACGGCCAAGGAGAGGGTATATCCCAAGGTAGGTGGGGAGTGGTATTTCTAGTGAGGGGAAAGTGAGCTTCATTTCAATCTTCCCATCACACCGCGCGCACTCACTTTTATTCAGGAAACTTCATGTAAGTTATTTGTAAACCCCTAGAAAACTTTTACATGTGACACCCTTTAGTGACTTTAGTTTGACTCATTTAATCCATTGCACTGCAAGACTTTTTAAATCAAATCAGGTCACAGGAAAGTGGAAAAATCTACCATCAATTTTTCAAAACGATGCAGTTCATTGCTTTTATCACACACAATTCTTTGGAAAACACTCCAAAAGCAATAAACCATTACAAAAGGGGGGGGGGGGGACAAGACTGACCAACGACTGAATTTCAAAACTTGATTTAGAACGGTGAATACGAATGTTCTATCAGCATATCTATATAAACACATAATGTAATGATATTGATGTTATGATTTTATACTGACTTACACCTGGCAATCATCAAGTGAACCAAATATTTGAGGGTCGCTTTCATTTCATTGAAATTTGAAAGTGATATTTCTGAGTGTATTTTTGTTTCTTGCTTTCTTTCGTTTTATTGCAGCTACTAAACCACACGTTTTTAATTAAATTTAATAAAAAACATCGCTTCTCACCACAAAATAGATCAAAATCCTGGATTTTATTTCAATGTTTCAAATTTCACAAATTATTTGAATTTCGCGCCAATATTATATTATATTTTCTTCGGGACGTCTTCGGAACAAGCCGTCAAATCCCCGTATGTGAGACGTGTTTACATTTTATTCGAGTTCAAAAACAAATTTCCACGTATTTCATCTGGTCTTCCTTCATTTTCTGTTATGTCCAAGATATTTGGAAATTGATATTTAAAATATACAACTATACTAACCGTGGCTGTCAAGAATTTAATAAAAATGCGTGGTTGGTTGCTGAGTATTGGCAGTGTCGTTCTGACAAGTTTGGTGATAGGAAATGCATACTTTCAGAAACAACAGTTCTATCCTTCTGTCGTGTATATAACAAAGTCTAATCCAAGTTTAGCGGTAGGTTATGCTGCGAGGAGGAACGTGTGGTGGCTATTGATGGCATTATTTTGCACAGTCATGTAAACAGGGGAAATCTGTTTTCCCCAGACCCAGGGGGGGCTGCTGTCTCTAGAAGACTAGAAGGTTCTGGCTTTACCGAATTGGCTGACAGTTTATTCAGGAAAATCAGATCTGAGTAGCAACGTAAACACAGCTTTAGTGGGTTAGATCTGATTGTGATTGCAAGATTTGTCATTTGCATGTCAGTCATGGTTAGCACTATTTTCCATCCAGCAAACTGACCTGACGTCATTTTCAGAAGATGGAAGAGGTGTTGAATGGCTATGTAACTAACACAAAACATACCCCTACTCTAACCCCTAATGCACCTATCAATGTTATGCCCCCAGGGGGGGAGGCCGGGCGTACCCTCAGGATTTGCAAATTTCGTGCCCCAAGTGTGGATATTTACCATTCTTCGAAGCCCGAGGGTTGGGACATTTGACAAATCTTAAACCACATGTTCTAGTCGCGTGACTACCGCTGACAAGTAATGCATTGGATGCGTTGGGCAACCACATGGAAAGCAAGCAGAATGGCGAGCGAAACGAGTAGAAATAGAATTGTAACAGAATTTTTGAAAGTTTTGAAGGAGAAAAACTTGAATAATGTTGTTGAAACATTCATTGGTCCTAAATAAAATTCAAAAATCATTCAACAGTTCTGTAAATAAAATCATTTTAATGATTTTAAACAACGTTGCTGCTCTATTCTCAACTGAATTTGTTAAGTTTGTTTATTATGTTCTATTTATACTGTGGGGATTTGATCCCCAGGGTGGGGAATATTTCAATATTCGCCTGTATTTTGTCGCCCCATATTGGGGCATTAATTAGCTCAAAATTTTCTTCAAAAAGTCTAATCCCCACCTAATCCCGTCCTCCCCCCTGGGGGCTTAACATTGATAGGTGCATAACTGCAACCATAACCCTAACCCTAACCCTAACCAAATTAATAAAAAAATCCAAAAAGAAACGACTTTAAAAAATCGATAGGGCAGTTTGCTGGATGGAAAATGGTGCTAACCGTCAGTCATGCCATATTTTGTACTGACGATCATTCAAGGAGTATTCCAGGAAACATCCATACCACCTGCCCCCCAGAGGAAATTGTTAGTCAACTCCCCTTCCAACGTATTAATACACTTACTATTATCAGAAACAGATGTTTCTCCCGGTCTCCACTGCCCCTCCAAAAATTTCAGACTCCTTGGGAACAGGGTGGATCTTTTCTGAAATGACCAATTACTATGTTTGTCATAGAAGTGTGCAAACAAACACAATATTTGATTGTGTTCATGCCCACAGGTGTTGACAAGTTTAGCACTAGACCACTCTCTTGAGAGGTTCTGACAACCTAACCTTCACCCCAAATTTTACCCTCAAACCAAACCTGAACAGACTCAAATGTTGACCCAACAAAACAATTTGAAAAAAACATGAATACTCATTTCACTAGAGCAAGATATAGTACAAATGGGGAAATAACCTGGAATCATTCCTGAAACAATGCCACTAGACTTGTAAACCCCCCTAGAATCTCTTGAACCCCTCTTATACAACCCCACCAAAATTCAACTCCACCAAAATTTTGCTTCACCCCTCCCATTTTGTGTGAAAGTCTTTGGCCCTAATGCTTGCCAAAGCTCGCTCAGTGGTGCCGCTTGCACCCTACTAGAAATTTATTCACCCCTCTTTTTTAAAAAAAATGCCACTAGACTACAGGGGAAATGTCTGAAATGTAATACAAAGTATGTCAAAAAGGTGACATGTTATTTTATGTTGATGTTGTTGTTTAGGTTCTATATTTACAAGCTTTTGTGTTTGTGCTGCTTCTTGGACAACTCTCTCGTAAAGTTTTCTTCGGTCAATTACGTCCTGCAGAAACTGAGGTAAAACAGATTGACAAGCATTTCTAGTGAACAAATCACAAACATGAACATACCTAATATGTGCATTTAACAGAAATATATCTTCTCCCTAAAATGTTCTTCCATTTCTTTCATTGTGTGTAGCATTTGATAGAGAGATCTTGGTATGCCGTAACAGAGACATGCCTTGCCTTCACAGTGTTTCGAGATAATTTCAGTCCTCTTTTTGTCGCTCAGTTCACCATGCTGTTGTTTCTTAAATGTTTCCATTGGCTTTCCGAGGACAGAGTGGAATATGTACGTTTCCTTGCCTTAGACATACATTTGATAATATCTGTGTTTTGATGTATGTTTATCAATTGTTTCATGCCTTTTTACATAATTTTATAGATGGAACGAAGTCCTGTTATATCATTTCTTTTTCATATTCGTGTCATTTGTAAGTTGAGATAGTTTCATATACGAAGTATATCTGTGACATTTGATTACAATGTTTGAGTTGCAGAAATATGTAATAATCTATAGCAATATTGTTGTCTAGGTTTGTTAACATTACTTGGTACTCTAGACTCTCTGCTTGTCCACAAAGCATATCACAGTGTCATAAACAGTGGTGCTTCAACACAACTTGTCTTTGGATTTGAGGTGATTAAACAACTGCGGCTTTTATATTGGGAATTTAGGCATCCAGACTCAATATAACTAATTGTATCTATACACCTTACATTGGCATCACCCAGGGCTGGAAAAAATAGGTGAGCACTGCTCGCAGGAAATGTTAAACAGCTGCAGGAAATTTGTTTGAATGAAGATTTGCTATTGAAAATTTGAAGGAAACCTTAACACCCATGTCTCGCTATGGGTGCAACAACATATGGTTGACAGACATTATTCCTTGAATTTAAAGCATGGTCAGCTAGAACACTATATGTTTATGCACATGCAGATTTAGCATAAATATAGTTTGTTGGTCTGCAGGAAATTTTTGTCTCCAGGTTGCGCTCCCAGGAAGAAAATTATTTTTTCCTGCCCTGGTGCCATCACCTTGATATACAGGGTTTTTAAAAAAACTCAATGGAAATTCAACAGGCTGTCGTGCATCATAAACGTGGCTAAACAATTCAATTTTTACATAGGACGAAAGAACAGTTATTTAACTTTTCAATAATACTCTTTAAATCGTAACGATGAGAAATGGCCACATACTCGTCAAATATAAATTGCCGGTCGAAATCACATTCTTCCACCGTTGGGAATTGCATGGAAAACGAAACATATAGACAATTCCCAAGAAATTAAAATTGAATGTTAACTGAATTATCTAAAATGAGCTCAATCTTCCTTAGTGAGACAATAAGAACGCCATTATTAAACATGGTTCAATTAACCACTGAACAGAGAACATTCGTATTCGAAAGTTTTACGAAACAAATAGCTTGCGGCCACAAATAGCTTGCTTTTGGATTGACTAACCTTGGCATAATTAATGTATTTTCAATTCCCAACGGTGGAAGAATGTGATTTCGAGCTGCAATTTTTATTTGACGAGTATGTGGCCATTTCTCATCGTTACGATTTAAAAAAGGTAACGGAATTTCCGTGTACAAGATCCTTCAACAATTATGGCAATTGTCTCTGTTTTGTTTTAGTATGCAATATTACTGACAATTGTTGTTGCTGTATTCATGAAATATGTTCTACACACGATTGATCTTCAAAGTGTCAATCCCTGGGAGAATAAAGCTGTTTATATTTTGTACAGTGAACTTGTGATGGGTGAGACTTCTACTTTGCTTTGTTTTACTAAATAATGAAATTTTTTGACCACATGGTAGCTAGCTGTTCTCAATTCTCATTTTAGGTTTTATAAAATCATTTTTATACATCACTTTTATGGTAATAATGATCAGAGTGCATACATTTCCATTATTTGCCATCCGACCAATGTACTTAACACTAAGGTGAGAAATGTATTTCCCCGTGATTTTGTGTATTTAATTTTCCTTAATTTGACAACTACAGATTTTAATCTCTCTCTCTAGATCATTTAAGAAATCGGTCAGCGACGTAATCATGTCAAGACGTGCTATTCTAAATATGAATACACTGTGAGTTTTCAAGTTATCAGTATTTGAGATGGTATAATTGGGAGCTTAGATCCTTGTCGTCTATCTTTCTCATGTTAGGTTCTAGATATTTAGATCATCTTTTACACACTCCATGCATATCTTCTATTTTTCTTCAGGCCTGTTTTATACGTCGAATTTTGGTCGCGTCGAATGCAATTCAAACAATAGATAATGAAGTTTAATGAGGTTTATCATCTCATTATCTATTGTCTTCATTGCATTCGACACGACCAAAATCCGACGTGTAAACCAGGCCACAATGTCTGTCAGTCTTCATTATGTACCTCTTATTACATATCCATGCCATCTTTGCCTTGCTTCCCTCATCTTCTCTGCCATGTCTAGAAAGAATAAGAAAGGATATATTTTGGACTCCGTGTCTATCCATCTTCATTACTTCTTATTACATATCATTCTTTGCCTTGCTTCCCTCATCTTCTCTGCCATGTCTAGAAAGGATAAGAAAGGATATATTTTGGATTCCATGTCTATCCATCTTCATTACTTCTTATTACATATCATTTTCTTTGCCTTGTTTCCCTCATCTTCTCTGCCATGTCTAGAAAGGATAAGAAAGGATACATCTTGGACTCATGTCTATCTATCTTCATTACTTTTTATTACATATCATTCTTTGCCTTGCTTCCCTCATCTTCTCTGCCATGTCTAGAAAGGATAAGAAAGGATACATCTTGAACTCCGTGTCTATCCATCTTCATTACTTCTTATTACATATCATTCTTTGCCTTGTTTCCCTCACCTTCTCTGCAATGTCTAGAAAGGATAAGAAAGGATACATCTTGGACTCCATGTCTATCCATCTTCATTACTTTTTATTACATATCATTCTTTGCCTTGCTTCCCTCATCTTCTCTGCCATGTCTAGAAAGGATAAGAAAGGATACATCTTGAACTCCGTGTCTATCCATCTTCATTACTTCTTATTACATATCATTCTTTGCCTTGCTTCCCTCATCTTCTCTGTCATGTCTAGAAAGGATAAGAAAGGGTACATCTTGGATTCCATGTCTATCCATCTTCATTACTTCTTATTACATATCATTCTTTGCCTTGCTTCCCTCATCTTCTCTGCAAAATCTACCACCTGACATCATTTTCTGATCTCTTCATTAACACTGGATATATTTCACCTTGCTGTAGTTATCCAGATGCAACACCAGAAGAACTGGCTAGCGGAGACAATGTTTGTATAATTTGTCGTGAAGAGATGATGACGAACGCTAAGAAACTGCCATGTAACCATATATTTCACATCAGTTGTCTACGTTCCTGGTTCCAGAGACAGCAAACATGTCCAACATGTCGTATGGATGTTTTACAACCTCAGCAACCTCGGCCGCCAGCCATGCCAGCCATGCCTCAAGGTCTGCATCGTCTCAAGATTTTAAAATTAAGCCTGGTTTACACTATCAAAGTTTCTCTGATCACAGAAAGAATCTTGCATCAGTATAAGTTCTAAGTTTTGAAGGATTTGTAAGAAATGTTTGAGAGAACTGACACGTGTTTTAACAAACATTTCTTCCTTCGTGATCACAGAATCTTTGATAGTTTACACAACCAGCCTTTAGAAGAACACTTTCTTGATCAACTGCAGTTCACAATTTTAAGTTGCCTATTTATCGTGATGGCAACTGACCGATTTATTCTGGAGATAAATCACCATTTTAGATTCGTCGTCTGACGGATCATCTTTCTAAGTGCAAACAAACTAACCCGGTAAAGACCTACCTAAAATGCTCATGTTTTGTGATTGGCTTTCAGAAACAAAAATGGTCATCGTTCGTGACTCGTTCTTTAGAAAGACAATTTCTATAGTTTTATTGTCTTTCATTGTTATAATCAACCAACCACGAGCCTGGATAGTGTAGGTAGATGATGACCCACTATCCACACAAACTAGCCATAATAACGCAACCTATACTGGCAAGCGTTCTTAGTTTGACATATTTATACAGTTATAGTATGCATAGAAATGATCTCATCACTTTTTATGTACATCTAGGTATACCACCTCATGGAGCTCATATGCCCCCACCTTTCCCAATGTTTCCCATGGGGTTCCCTCCTGTCCCACCACCTGGTGTACCTCCAGGTGCCCCACAGCAAGGTCTAGGTCCCACTCCACCTCAGCCACCCACTACACAAGGACCATCATCATCAACGACTCCTCAACCGTCGTCTAACCCGGTGAGTGGAACCTTCCTTTTTTGTCATAATATGCGCTCTATAATTGTTATTACATGATCATAATAATAGATTTGATAATAATTGCTAACTGTGTAACCTTTGTCTTCAAATGGGGGCCCGTATTCTGACTGACAACTGGTTTATATTTTCATCTCTAGATTCCAGGCACATTGCCACCATTTTTCCCGCCACCCTTTCCCATGTTTCCATCTCCAATGTTTGGTAAGTAAAGGTTACTCGTGAGAGCGCACTCAATGGGTTAACCATTAAGTTGTATTGCGCCCTAATGTACTCTACTCTGTTAATTTACTCCGTTTAACGTCGAACTATTTTGCGAGAGCCCTTACGACGTTAGATTCATTAACATGTTCTGTTCATGTCATGATCTTATGAATAACTCTCCTTTATACAGCATATTCCATTATGTATTTACACTTGTATACTATACAAAAACTTGTGGTTAGAGCTTGACAACTGTCTCTCTGTCTGACTCGTCCCCAGTCGTCTCTGTGAGCACGCGCGAATTGCAGGTCTCTCTGTACCTCAGTTGGTAGAGTGCTCCGCAGTTTCAATTCCTGCCAGAGGGTCTACTGTATAATTGAATTTTTCGCAACTTCTCCTGGTTAGGTTTAATAAATGTATAAACTTTACACTCGAAATTTCCATCTGCAAAACCCTTCAACAACATTGTGTATTCTGTTTCTGAAGGGTTCCCTTTTCCTCGCCCTCCTTCAAGTGGAAACACTTCATCTGCAACAATGGAAGAACTGCGAGCAATGGAAGGCGAGGAACGTGAGAATGTGGAAGCTCGTATTGCAGTGTTGAGAAATATTCATTCTTTACTGGATACTGCCATCACGCAGTTGAATCAATACTCACAAGCGGTGGCTGCTACTCAAACGTAAGTCGACGCTTTTTCTTCCGTCACTCACTGACCTCTATGTATATCTGGAGTGAGAAGTCCAGAAACTGAAGTCAAGATGGCGGAAATTGAAGAGTCAGTCCCTTTGTTTTTGTCTTTAAAGAACAACACTATGGTTTTATGAACTCCTAACTTGTTTAGCAGTCCGTTACAAAAAACCTGGAATTAGCTGGGGGGAAATGGTAATGACGTTTGCAATGACGTCATTTTGGGATTTCAGTTGACGGGCAAGTATAACAAAAAACAGCTATTTTAATGTATTGATTGAGTTTAAGACTCAAAAGATGAATTACCGTTCAGTTTTTCTTGCTACAACCATTCTGATAGGAGAAAAATCGCCCACAATTTGTTTCATTGCCCGTCATTTAAGAATTAAAACTGTTTAGGAGCTTCGTAGCTATTGGACGTCAATTTCCGCCATCTTGGATTTATTTTTCTCGCTCCTGAAATACCGAAGTTCTCGCTCCAGATATATAGAGCTCAGTGATGTACTCTTACCGAGACCCAGGAAACACTCGTGTTTCTAACTGTTAGTAATTTTGAACTATCATTAGGCCTACTTTCATGTCAGGACTTGAACCTCAAGCTGGTACCAGCACTGCTCCAATCTCCACTTCTCAAGATCAGAATACCGATGAAAATATTGTCTCGTCCACTGCTGATGTTCCTGGACCGAGTTGGGCGGTAGTTGACGAAGATGTAGCGACGACAGACGGCGAAACACGAAGTATACCCGAGGCTAGCACGGGAGTAGAGACATTGGCTGAGGATTACGCCTCACATAACGATTTACGTCAGAGAAGAATTGAACGTTTTTCATCCCAACCTAATGATAATCAGGATGAGGAATAGTTAATGATCAAACATTGAGATAAAATATAACTACATTATTTGCAAGATATTGTAGAAGATGAAGAATAGAGTGAATACTAAACTAAGTCAGGTTTTCATGTGATGTTCGCCTGCGAGCAGGCTACTGTGATGTGAAATAGTCTATCCATAGTCAAAAGAATAAGAAGGTCAGGGAACTCGATGCAGACAAAATAGACCTCATTATCTGTTGTTTTTGTCTTGCTTTATGCAAGAAATGGTCGGTTCATCGTCACGTGTGTATTGTTTCTTTCTCTAGAGCAACTATAATAGCTATGTTTTCATTTAACCATTGTGTAATATCACGACTGGGTAATTAAACCAACACACTGCGATCGGTTGGTTGGGCAAAAAAGACAATACACACGTGACGATGAACCGACCATTTCTTGCATAAACCAAGAGAAATAGATAATGAGGTTTATCATGTCTGCTCCTTGTTCTATCGACTATGGGCTATCTTATCTTTTGCGTCTTGTATGCGTTCACAAAAATATTGCCGTTGCTGATTGCGCATCATGATTACGATTAGAAATATATCGATACTGTATTGTATCAGTGACATTGCTTGCGGCTGTCGCAACTCAACTTCGATGTTTCGAGTTTCCTTCGCTGGAAACGTCGAAGTCCTCCTTGTATTTTTCAGGTAGTTGCATCCCCATCAATCCAAAGCTCTCTTATTTTCGTCATTACCTACAGGCTACACTGACACAGACTGTTCAAGATTATGGGATGGGGAAGTTTTGTTCCACTATGCCAAATATCATGGGTTTTCCCCAGGCATTCCGAGAGGTCGAGCGGGTTAGGGAAAGATGACAGGATGAATATTTATATCCTTACACACCACGTTTTCACCATAGATATCTTATATCTATGGTTTTCACCAAGTTGCCATAGTTAGACACCGTACCATGCGTGTTGCCAAGCAACTAAACCCATTAATTATAGTAATGTCACAATTAAGCCACGAGGGATTACTTTAACGACGCTCGAGTAAACATTACGGCCAGAACAAATTATTCCATGTCTGTCAATATTTCAAAGTCTATAGATTAGTCTGGTGGGTTGTGATGACAACATGGTGAAAATGTCGCCTTAGAACATGGGAGGTTGTGTAGGGAAACCTAATAATAAAGTTAACCCACCAGCATCTGACCAGTTCAATAATGAAGAACGTCAAGTCGACAGCCAAAGCAAAATTCTGGGTTTAAAAACTACCAAACATACTTCAACTGACAGAGCAATTGGGAATGAGAGAAGTTCAGTAGTCAGTGTTGTGGAGAATCATGACAAAAAGCTCAAAACCATGAAAACGTGTTCAGTTGTAAACGTTCAACATGAAGGCAGTGAACAAAGTGACATTTCATCCCAAGTGAAGGAAGGCTTGCCTCCGAAAGCAGTTCGCTTTGATATTGATTTTAATGATATGGAAATAAATTCTCAATCAACACCAAGAAAATTTCCAAGAAGATTAAAGGTACAGAATTTTAAATTACTGCCATATTGGAAAGTTTTAATAACGCGAGGTATCTAGGATTGGAATTTCATTTGATATTTTTTTCATGTTCGTTTGATAAGAAACTTGAAGGAATGCCACAACTTACTGCAGAAGAACTGAGCAACAAGCAAGAACTCTCTGAACAGAACAGAGCAAAGGTATGACGTCTCATTCGTCTATTTAAAACTGACGCTTGCTGCAAAACTACAAACAGCGGGCTCAACCTACACATACACGGACGTCAGATTGCCGAGGGCGGACCAGTGAACTCTATATATATATATATCTGGAACGATAACATTCAGTCATTTGATTGTGAAAACAATGAAGCCTCGATACCAGTCTTTCACACGGATTGGACGTCAGTCTCAGTCCCTCAAACGTCAGGTTTACGCGGATCAATGACGCGGATTGGACGTCAGTTTCATTCCCCCTCTGCAAACCGTTGCACGGCCAGTATAAATTTGAACGCAATCACGAAAAAAAATTTAAAACATGGCCAACTCAATGCAATACATTGTAGGAGCAAACAGTTTTGCTCCTAAAATTTACTGCATTGAGTTCGCTGTCGGAAAAAAGTCGAGGAAAACTTCCCCGTCTGGACAAAAGAATCACTTTTTCAAATATATTGTGTCGTACTGTCGTTCTGGATGCACAAGGAAAGAGATATTCTTGCGAGAAAATTTCATTTCACAGGTAGGTATTAAAATTGACTTGCAACTGTGACTTTGCCGTTGCCATTTTTCGCGATTGTTTGAATTGTTTTTTAGTTTACCAGTTTTATAGTTTTTAGTCAATACACTGGTACGTTATTTTTTAAAGAATTTATTGTGTGATCGGAATTTGCCTGCCAGCAAAATGTAAATGAATATGTACGGGTGTTTGAATATAAATTAGACCATATGGGCTTAGTAAAAAATTATTTTAATAACTACGTTTCGGAGTATAACTCCATCTTCAGGTTTATAAAAGTGAATAAAGATATAAAAACTGTGATAAAAACTTTCAAAACAATTACAAATTTTATATGTAAGTGATATTTAATACTGTAAGAATTAAGAAAGTTCTTGAACAGTTGATGACGAAGACAATGACGAATACTTATGTCGTGATTTTTCTGTCGGCTTCACTTTTCGCTCGCTGTTATCGTTCCAGATATATATATATAGAGTTCACTGGGGCGGACTTGTTTAAAAACTATGTTTGTGTCAGTTTGTGGTAATCATGGGCGTACCGGGCGGGGGGGGGGCGGCAGCCAGTTGGGCAATATTCGCTTCACAGTCGGGCAATATTGGCTTATTATAAAAATAAATGGGACAAATTCTGTCAATTTTGTGGGAAATTCTGTCAATTTTGTGGGAAATATGTATAGGTTATTTTGAGGCAACGAGGGGATATGTGATTTATTCACCGAGGCGCGCAGCGCCGAGGTGAATAAACACATATCCCCGAGGTGCCTCAAAATAACGTACTTATTTTTCACAATGCGAGGTCGCGTTAATGAGTCAGAAAAGAAATAATTCTCAATGCCATATTGCTTTTGCGATGTTGTTTTTTCTCATTTTTTGTGCTGCAAAGACATTGCAGGTGAATATTAGAGGGGATTATTAATTGCAGGTGAATATTAGAGGGGATTATTAAACGGAAATTGAATAGAGTGGAATATTGAATATATTCCCCGATAAGAACAAAGGAAACCGAGCAGGGTGAAAAATAAGCTATCTAATAGGAATTTTTCCTCTCCCCCATCGACAACAATTTTGGAAAGTTTCGCCGGAAAATTTTTTTTGACAACTCGGGCGCAATCCGAAAAAGTCGGGCAAATTTCTTTCCGCCCCCTAATTTTTTCCTTCCCGTACGCCCATGGTGGTAATTTTCAACACATATGACAAAACATAAGATTTTTAAAGTTTTTTGCTTACTTGCACGAGCGCTTTGATACAAAATTCCGCCAAAATCAGTTCTACCAATTTTCGTATGTCTGTGTTGACAAAAACGTCGCTCTGCAGAATGAGCCGTTCTCGACCAATCTCCCTTTTAGGGCCATTACATTTATAACTAAAACTTTTGTCCAGTGGCGATCTGCCAGTGCTTGTGGTTTTGTCTTCAGTTACAACGCGATACTTTATTGCATACAATGGCTTTACAACGCCAATAGATTATTGCTTACAACGTGCGGAACGGGTGGCAAAATGCATATAGTGGATGCAAGGCTACTGCAGCAGCTAGTTTACTAAGTGGCCAGGTATACTAAAGTTTAACCCAATAAGCACCAACGTACAATTCACCCAATAAAATATCTTCATTAACTCGCTCTACAGGAACTCAAACGAAAAACAGAGACTTTATCAAAACATAATCGAGATCTCTTTGAAGCGAGGGAACGTGAAAGATTGAGGGATTCACAAATACAGGTGAGAAAAACTAATTTCACCACTAAAAGCTCAACAGCCAAATACTTTCAAAACCAACCAGTATATATACTCAAGAAAATACATGCAAACAGTAAAATTTTTGCTAAAAAGGACCGGCATCACATCTCACGGCTAGACTTTACCCGTCATTTCCCAACTCAGAAGAACAAATATCACGGCTCACGAAAATACCCTTTACCACCCTCATGCAATAAACTAAAGCCATGCACGCTACACGAAGGGAATATTTGCTGCACCTTCAGCAAGTTGCATGCATCGTATAAAGTTATGTGAAACGTATTCACAGTAAAATTTAAAACCCGTTGAAAACTTGGCCCGCATTTCATTCCTACGAACTTTCCAAAAATACGACATAAATATGAAGTATAAGAAAAATATTCTCTGTTGCAGCAAAATTGCCTCGTGTAACATTTGACATACCCAATTAGGACTATCTTTATAATCGTATAGAGCATCTATTTATTGATGGTCACAGCTTCGATTCAGATTACTGAGCCAAAGCTTAGATTATACATCAAACCTAGTACAGTGCTGAAACGACAGCACTTTCGTTGTAAAACATTAGGGTTAGGTAGAAACAACTACAGCGCTTTAGTTGCCGTCACATACCGTCTCGTCCTTGTCACTTCGTGTTGAACTGCAGCAATAATCCGTGGAGTGTTTTCTCAATCACAGTCTCACGAGCGAGCATTCTTGTTATTACTTTGTTGAACTCTCTTCGACTCTGGCTTGCGTTGAACTAATATTTCGACTTCAAAACTACTGTTATTCCAACTTGGTAGAGAATATGGGCGTTAGAACAGTATTCGCCTTCAAGAAGCAGCGTTTGAATGAAAACCTCTTGCCAAGGCTGGCATAATACTTAGCAGAATGTTGCCAATCCAGTCATGATCCCGGATGTTCACAATATGTTTTTTCATTGTTTTGAAAATCCCACTGTTCTCCATGCCATCCAGTCATTCATTTATTGTTTGAAGTTTTATTGTAATAGCATTTTGCAAAGTGTCTACAATACTTATGCATAACATGGATTAATAATGCAAAATAAGCACAAGGATTATTCCCACAAAGGGGAATTGTCTTTTATTAGTCTCTGGGTAAACACAGTATTGTCCGCTATGTACAGGGTGTATAAAAAAGTGACATTTAGAAATCACCTTTTTGTTGTAAACACCCAAACTTCAGAGTTTAGATGCATTGTCATTGTAATGGCACGAGCATATTAAAACTGCATGCATAAATTGTACATGAAAATTCTCATTGAAAGGGCCTTGAAAGTTAAAACGACTTAGGGCCTGTTCATATGATCCCGCTTACCGGGACGTCTCGCTTACCGATGATCTCGCCGCCTATCTATTTTCCTATAAAATTTTGCATTGTGTTCATATGGGAAAGCGAGCTGGCCCGCTTGCCGAGATCTCGTTTGAATTTGCCGAGATCATAGGCAGGCGGGATGAAAATTTTTCCATATGAACACGCCAGCCCGCTTACCGGGATGAAGTGAAACAAGTCTTGCCGGTTTAATTTAACACTTTTTACTTGGTTTTATGTTTGTTTTGTAAACAAGTATTAAATAACCACCTGAAGCAATACTTTTTCTTGTAAATAAACGAAGAAAAACACTAAAATCGCCAAGCATTTGTGTTGCTTGACTGAAATGTAGAAGTTTTGCATACGCTAATTATAGAACTACAATGTAATTTCATCTCGGCAAGCGGGACGAAATACTCCATATGAACGCACGGAAATATTCGTCTCGGTAAGCGAGACGTCCCGGTAAGCGGGATCATATGAACAGGCCCTAAGTTTGATCACTGCTATATATAAACAATTCCTATTGTGTTTTTAACAAGGTCAACCAAATACTTGATCAGTTTACACACCAAGAATGATGTATTTACTGCATATAATATGTGATGGATAGATTATAGGTAGGTAGGTAAGAGTGCATACAGTTAAATAATTAGCCATTTCTCATATTTCCTTTTATTTCCTGGTTAAGCAGGTGACTATAATTGTCATGGAAGGTATGAAGGAGGTAGCTATGATTTTATCACATGGCTATGGGGGATAATTATGACCATTATTATGCTCAAATGTAATTATTGTCTCATCAGTTTTTATCCTTTTTGTAGTGTAAACTTAAGTATAAAAATAAAGATTTATGAATATGTCAGACAAATTATATACAATGGGTGATCACTTGGTAAGTAATTTTTATACCTTTGTTGTGGTCTGTGTAGATGGAGGCTATTTTGGCAATAGCCATGCACTTAGACATAGCATGACCAGTCCATATTTGGACTGCCTATGTCTATTAAACATGATTGAATACCCAAATCACAGAATAGGAAATTATACCAGAAGCGTAACTCGAGCAAATGTTTGTCCTCATTTTTACAAGCGATTCGTCATCAATCACGCCATCCTGGCTAGTACAACCGGCACTTTGTACCTACCAAATCCTGATAAAAACTTCCGGCTGTACTAGCCAGGATGGCGTGGCCTGACGTGAGCGAGTTAAAAATTTTCGTGGACGTCAAACAATAAGGGAAACGACTAGAGTTACGCTTCTGGTATAACTTCTTATTCTGTGCCCAAATTAGATTCAAGATTATAATTAATGATATGTCCCAGGCATGGATCCAAAAATGACCATGTACTGAAGTTATATGGCATGAGCCATGTAAAATATGGTGGGAAACATACAATTGGGGCTGCATCCCACCATAATGCACTAGTCAATTGAAACCCCGACCCCCGGGATAGGGAGGGGAAATTAACATTTTGACAATGTTAAATTTTGGACATTTCCCTGCTACCGGGAGAATATTGACTGTTAAAATTACTGTCCCTATGGCCCCAGCACTTTGAAAATTTTCATGACTTGGGAAATTTTCATGACTTGGGAATTGTCCTGGCTAATAAATTGACTTGTTATTTACCCTGTACCCCGGGGGAAATCTGCATTAAGACCACGGCCATTCCCCCATTAATTCCCCGCCCTGTCCCAGGGGTTGGGGGTTTCAATTGACTAGTACATGCATAAACATTGCAAAGGTCCATTTTGTAAATTAATGGCACTATGTATTTAATCTTAATTTATAGGGCCTGTGAGTTCATATCTGGAATAAAATAATGGCAAATCTACAGAAATATCACTGCTAAGGAGTGTCAAACAAATTCAGGAGGACTGAATTAACTGGATGTTCTCAGGATGAAAAAGAAATTGTTGACTTTAATTGAATAATCATTATCATTAATGTAAGGTTAAAAATATTGAACATTCAAAAGGATGCAGACAGAAAATTTAAAGTACTGGGCCTGAATTTCAGGTTAAGTGATCCAGGAATGGGGTTGGCCCTCTGCAGGCTAAATCAATTGAGGGAGATCCCTTTATTTCAAGTTAAATGATTATTTGAATAAGATGCCATTCAGGCAATTAAAGGGCCTGCATGGTTAGGTCCATATTTTAATTCAAATTATTAAGTACTCGATTTATCCATCAACAAAACCCAACATTAAAATTTCCATCGAGTGAGATGCAACAAAACCATCTATAGTTTATTAATTATGTTAACCTACTCCATCAATTGGCAATGAGCCTACTTTAGTAATAATTTTATATACTCCATCTCTAATTTGCCCATTATATTTATAAACTGACAGTTAATACTATTACTCTTTCACATACTAATAAAATCATCTGGGCCCGGTTGTTCGAAGCCCGTGTAAGCCTTTGAACTACCGGCCCCAGATGATTTTATTAGTATGTGAAAGAGTAATTATTAACTGTCAGTTTATAAATATAATGGGCAAATATATGATTATGTACAAATTGCATGCATGGTTCATAAAGTCTCTGTGATAGACTTGCTCCAACAGATTCAAATTCCATCCTGACAATACCTAAATAATAATTATAGAGGTTGCAGTGTTGCACTACCTTTTGCTAAAATACTGCCATTGTTTACCAGTATTTAATATGAACTCAAAAGTCAAAACACTTAACACTATGAAGTATTTAGATTTATAAATAGTACTTAGTATTTTATAAACCTTAATTGCATATAAAATAGTTTATAATTATCTTACCTTTGTACTTTTACTGTAATTATCTCTTTAGTTTGTATTTGTTCACTAATCTGTATTTTCTTGTTTCAAAATAAACTGAATTTCATATCAAGAAGCGAAGTTTGTCTGTCTGTGTGCTTATTTAAAGGCACAGTTCAGCCTTCTGAGTGATGGTTTCTATGGCGCATTACAAGACTTTTAATTGAAAAAACTAACTAGGAAAATCAATTAAGCATAATTCAAAATCAGTGAACTCAATGTTAAAAACATTAGAAATGTTTAAAAATGTTAAAAACATTGAAATCACTGATCTTGAATTGTGCTTAACTGATTTTCCTAATTAGTTTTTCAATTAAAAGGCTTGTAATGCGCCTTAAAAACCATCATTCAAAAGGCTGAACTGTGCCTTTAAATTTCTCTTCCCCCCCTGGAAAATGGCCACGAATAACAGCGTCGAAAACGATTGATATCAGGTTGTTTACGTATTGATAAAACAAGACTGTTCGCAGTTGTCGACAATATAAAACATCATTGATATCAGGTTGATCTCAGTTGTTCCAACAACGTTGTTCAGGCCTTGTTCGTTCATCAGGCGTTAACAACATTGTTCGAACAAGCGTGAACAATATTGTTGACAACATTGCTGCAAGTGGGCCGCACAATATTGCAGCATCCTGTTCAGAACCAAGTTGCAGCAACTTGTTGACAACTTGCAACAACATGATGATTTTTACGCGTGTAGGCCTCCATTTTGAATATAACGTTGCCAATACTTCATGTAGTTACATAAATAGAGGATCACACGGCGGCGCGAAGATATGACTTTTGTCTTCGAGTGGTAAAAACAACATTTCGCGAACGAGCGCAATGTTCTAAAAGTCACGTGATTAATATATTCACCAGTGAAGAGTCCAGGGTTTGTTTTAACGTGCAGTTCTACACAAAATGTACAGTTCTAGACCCATTTGTGCAGTTCTTAAAACTCAAATGTGCAGTCACCAAATTAACAAAAATACTGTATAACCTCAAAACAGTCTTCTCATTTACTCGTTTTCCTTGTGGATGCTCCAGATGCCAGAAATGCTTTTATTGAGCATCAAAAGTCTAAATGTTTTCTGGGAGAGGATCACCAGACCCTCATATTTTTCTCACAAATGAGGGTCTCCCAGGGGTTTTGGGGGAACAAGGGAACACTGTAAATTTTACAATGGGAACACGGGAACAAAGGAAAACAAAATTAGGGAACAAGGGAACACGAAATATATTGGGGAACAGGGGAACAAAGCCCCTTTCCTAGAATATATACAAGTGGTACGATGGCCTAATGTATTGTAGATGAAAAATGGGCATAATATATCGTTTTCTCCAATTTGTCCAACCAGCTAGTGTACTTGTGGTAGACTGTTCTACGGGCTGCTTGAGGATGATAAGTGAAGTTTCTCCTCTAGTCAGATTTTTGAGCAGCCATCATGACTTTTCTCGGTCACATTTTGCCTGCACCTGAAAAAGCAGATACCAACGGCAACGCCCTTCACAATCGACGCAGCAATCACCAGAATCGAAGAGGTATATGACTTCGATTGTCAGTGCATACATAGAACAAGTCAAAGCCTTCCTTAGAACAAATGCCCAGAGCCAAGGTCCGCAAGGAAACGTTTCTTCAGTCGTTGTGGAAGACGAAACAAGAATCTTTGGGAGAAATGCGAGGTCTGCTTCAAAAGTATGATCCACAGCTTTTGAAGTTGTTCAAACTTAAAACCGTTTGACGCTGGTAGTCGAGAATTGTTTCTCCGAGATAAGGGCAGGGCATGTGATATGCCAATGCAGTTGCAGTTCGACTTTCACTTCAGTCGAGCAATGAAGGAGCACTTGAATACTTCAAGTCAAATCTGACTTGAAGTATTCAACTCTACCAAAGATGGCCCCACCTTCAGCAGCACAGTTGACAAGTCACAAGTGCAGCAAATGAGAGACTGGCGCATGAAGTATGGTCAAAGTGTCCCACAGAATACCGTGCGGAACATGAGCACTAAAGACAATCCGGGTACTCTGCCGATAAATCTCTATGCCCTGGCACAGCCAGCTAGCGAGCCTTTGGAATTCTCGAAAATTACAGAAAATGGTACCCAAACAGACACACACCATGCCAACACGCACAACATTCTTCATTCCACTGGGGACGTTGTTTTTCTTGCCTCGTACGCCAATTGTGGGCGGATGATGATCTACCATCTACAAGAAAACGTTAGTGTTTCAACAAAGAAAGCAAGAGCCACCATTTTTGAAGGTGACCCTTTTAATCCACTTATATTTACAGAAGAAGGAGTTGTCAAGGTCAATGCGAAAGAAATACCTGGTTCTCAAGTGGAAACCGTTTGCAGGAGATAGCAACTTTGAACTGACAGAGAATGAGTTTCTAAGATAGCAGTCGAGAATGATTGAATGTGTTGATGCTGTGACGATTGAAGAGGCGAGAGAAATTACAGAGCGCCAGGATATCGACCAAGAAAGTGCAACAGATACGAAGCCAAGACGTGCAACAAAGACACCACAAAGGCTACTGACGATTTTGTATATTATGATTAGTAAAGGTGATACTTTAGTACTTTAATCGTTGGAACAATTGAAGAAACTATAAATGCAATGCTGTTCATTAGATCTATTTTTTGTTATGTAATAGTAATACTGTCAATACTTCCACAAAGTCAAATAACTATTAAACATTATAGTCTTCTTCAGTATTGTATTTTTCAAATGAGCAACATCTGCAGGCTTGTGATTGTATTTTTCTGTTTAATTTTGTTAAAGTGAACGTATGTATTAATATAATGGATGATAGCGAGGATAAACTGTCAAATTTTCTGAATAACGAAACAAAATTTAATTTATAAAGGGGAACAAGGGAGCATGGTTAAATTTTGGAAGGGAACAAGGGAACAAAGCGAAAATTTTGAAGGGAACACGGGAACAAGTACCCCCCCTGGGAGACCCTCACAAATCACATACGTGCTGGGGGTAATGGAACAGGACGTAAAATTGGTGCGAGCGAAGCTATCCAAAAGAGATTAGAGTGGAAGAACCTAATATTCTTTGCTGCCTAAGGTTATTGTATATTGAGTATTCATGATTCCCAGTTAGCCTACATGTTTTGAAACAGTTGTTGTGGGTGGTTGAGTGAAACAAATCTTTGCCAGAACTTACGTCACGAGCCTCTAAATTCAAAATTTGGGGGGACACCCACTACCTGTAGCTCCTCCACCCAGAATCGAGTTTGTCTGGCCCCACCTAACTACACCTTTATTCTGCCACCTATATACAACCTATGTACAAATTAAGAGTCTATCATAATTTACAACGTTAACTATAAATTTACAATGTTAAATATAGATAAAAATCCTTTGACCCCTCAGTCAAACACCCTTTGACCCCCCAGTCAAACACGTGATGCTTCGTAACATCCTTAATATGTGCAGTTCTAAATTTTTCTTAAAATAAACCCTGGTGAAGACATGGAAAATATCTCACTGTTTATTTTTAGTATCTCACTTTTTACAAAATAATAATAACGTATTCACTATTTTTGCCAAATAATCAGATATGTATCTTTGCACTTGTATGTGTGACGTTAGCTATATAATTTCTACTCAGATCTCAGGGGAGCCAAATAAAACGATAGTTTAAATATACATAATACTGATTTTTTCCGTGTTGGTGTAATGTACTCAGGTGAATATGATGCTTGTGATGTTACTCTGAGTGTATATCCACACCGGATAAGCTTGAAAAATATGCCTGTCCACGGTGGGAACGTTGCACGGTCCACATTGATATCGAAAGAACTAGATTCTGTTCCGAAATATCACATAGTATCACTTGAACCGACCTGACCGCGTCGCTCAGTTGGCAGAGCATTGGGCTAGTATTCCAAAGGTCGTAGGTTCGATTCCCACCGTGGACAGACATATTTTTCAAGCTTACCCGATGTGGATACACACTCAAAGTAACATCACAAGCATCATATATATACTTCCGTTTGTGGAAACACCACGTAAATTTATTACTGATGAATAATATGTGACTTGTTCAATTCATACGCCTTTTTTATATGTAAAGTGTCGTGATCTGATGGCTCGCGTCATTTGAAATTTAATTAAACAGTGATTCTAATTAACGCGCGCTCATCCAAGACAAGAGAAATTAATTTTGCACATTAAAGAGAGCACGCCAAGTACTATATTTTAATATAGTATTTTTTGTTTTAACAGCTTTATTAGGAACAGTAACAGCTAGTTTCCAAAAGGGAAGGTATCGAACGGGTCATAAGAACCCATGCAAGGCTACCCCCATGTAATGTTTACAACATGAGCGGCCGTGTTGTATCAGATATACAAACTCGAGCCGAAGGCGAGAGTTTGTATATCTGATACAACACGGACGCGAATGTTGTAAACAACTTAAAAAACGACTCATCTTATGAGTTCATTGGCGAAGTAATTTTAAACTGATAAACGTTGTCTAAGCCGAGAAAATCAAAGTTAAAGTTTATGTAAATCAACATGAATCTGTATCACATATACAGATACGACACGCTTATGATTTTTCTTTGTGTTTTCTTCATGAATTATTAATGAGTTTTTTAAGCACATTTACAAAATAATTTACATATTACACTTAATAAAATTCATAGCTTACAACTGACTCTAGAAAGTGCTTTTACACTCTCCATATACAGTAGGTAGAACCTAAATACGGAGATTAAAAAAATTAAAAACCTAATTACACGTCTTGTGAAAGGCTATAAAACTAGCCAGCGTGGCCGGCTCTTCTATTGAGCTGAGAATTGAAGAAGACCCTGCCCGAAAGCCCTAGTAAAATTGATCACCGCCCACTTAGTTAATATTCCATATTATCACTAGCCAGCGCTAGATATATTTACTGCAATATTATAAGTTTCGTCTACTAATTTGTAATTTCCAGACAAAGTCGAAGGCTTTCGCTCAAAATGTCGACGTTTTGCTCGTATTTTCCAGACAGTTGAATCGCTATCCATCTATTAAAAAGTTTATTGAAAGCGATAATATGGCAATGTAATAAATGACTTAGGGGAAAAGACAAATAGACCCCTTCTCCTGTCATACACGTTGTCAGGCAAATGTATTTTAAAAGCTCCAAAGAGAGCTTCGTATTTTTTATGTTATGCATTTCATGTACAAAAACATTGGGAAATGTATTCTTTTGTATAATCATAATTTGCCTTCGTGCAAAATCTAAACAAGGCAAGGACAGCCAAGGTTCTATACTCTATAGTGACCATACGGTAAAATCATACGACATAGGTATGCAGTATATGGCATGCCTTATTCTGTTTAGACTTTAGATACCTGTATATGTTATACATTTTACACTTTGTCTTTTGAATTTTTATATTTTAGCCGACATGCAGGTTTACACTTGTACAATGTATTAATCGTGTGCGATGCCGTTTGTTTTTACCGCATTTATTTTTTAATTTTTGGATAATTTAGCTAATATGTCAATCAACATGTTATCAACGTAAATTCAGTCAATCACAATTCACGGTAGCTGGCTTCCGAGAGTGACCAATTTTACTAGGGCTTTCTGGCAGGCTCTTCTTCAATTCTCAGCCATATAGAAGAGTCGGCCAGACTGGCTACTGTAAAACACGCAAGCTGGATGATTTAATGATTCATTTTACAAAATACTGGCCCCTACCAATGGAAGGATGTAAAAGTACCTCAAGTCACAACATGAACAAGCACAGTACAAATCAAGTTCGCATCAAAAACAGTACGTAAAAGTACGTTAAAAGTTTGATTAGAAACCTTCTAAATGAGGCGAGATTACTAAAACTACTACTCGGTGCAACTTTACATATAGAGTTCTACATCCTAACAATACGATTAAAATATGAGGCTTTAAAAGTACTTGTTTTAGAAAGTGGAGTTTCTCTGCAGTTCCCCTCCTGCCTCTTATCTATTGTATTGTGCTTCTCGATTTCAATTGATTCTCACATTTTGCGAGAGAACTTATGACAATGTCAATCGCCAAAATGGTTGCTTTGTCCCATTTTATACGATAGTTGTAAGTCCAAGTATGTTTAGCCACTGACAGCCGATTTATTTTGCTCGGCTATCTCGCAATTCATCCTATGTTTCTTAATTTAGACCGGTATTGAGAGATTTCGACCAGGTTCACCAATATAAACTGGACCACATTCACAAGGAATGCGGTACACACCAGGTTTCTGAGACTCATTCACGTTGTCATTATATGTGCAAAGATCTCGAAACAATTTGTTTTCACTGATACTTTCAGTTGCCTGTCAGTCTATACCGTTTTAATTTAAGTATATTTGAGACAGAAAGGATTTCAAAAGTGTCATAATTTCTGATACTTTGGACTATCAGCCTCTGCAGTTTTAAGTATATTTCACATAATGATAGGGGATTTGAAAAGCATCAGAATTTCTGATACTTTGGGCTATCAGTCTCTGCAGTTTTAAGTATATTTGACATACAGAGGATTTAAGTGTCAGAATTTCTGATACTTTGGACTACCTGTCTGTAATTTTAAGTATATTTGACATACAGTACAGAGGATTTCAAAGGTATCAGAATTTCTGATACTTTGGGCTACCAGTCTGCAGTTTTAAGTATTTTTGAGATACAGAGGATTTCAAAAGTATCAGAATTTCTGATACTTTGTAATACCAGTTTCTGCAGTTTTAAGTAGATATCACATTTCAGGGATTTGAAAAGTATCAGAATTTCTGATACTTT